GAGGGACAGAGGAAGCGAGGGGCTGGGCTCCTGTCCATCCCGAGTCCCGCCGTCCCGCCTCCTCCAGCTTCTTCCAGGAGCCCCTGTGCAAACAGGCGCTCAGTCTAGTTCTCAGCAAGCACACCGTTTCCATTAGCAGGGCTAGAGTGCCTGCTCCACTTCCGTCCAGCTTCCGGCTAGTGCACACCCTGGGGGTGCTTGGGTCCCTGATTTCCTGGCCCCTGGTTTCACCCTGGCCCAGCCCTGGCCCAGCCCTGGCCCAGCCCTGGCTGTTGGGGACATTTCGGGGAGTGAACCAGTGGATGCAGGATCTCTCTCTCTGCCTTTCAAATAAATAAAAATTCTAAGTACCTCCGAAGGTGATTGGAAAACAAAGACATGGCCAGTGACAGGAGGACTGCATAGCCAAGGTCACGCAGCCAAGCAGGACCAGCAGAACCAGTGTCCAGGCCTCCTCTCCAGGCGCACTGACCCCACCACGAGGGCGCCACCCCCACCTCTTAGCAGCATCACCTCGGGGTTGTGGTTGCAGCCCGTGGACCTACTGTGCGCATGCGTGTGGGACTCTTGCTCAGGACACAACCACCAAAGAGCAACAGACAGGCGGGCATCTAGTGGTCAAGGTGCTGCTACCCATTTCAGAGCGCTGGGTCAGCGTCTGCCTCCTGCTCCCGCAGTCCCTGGGAGGAGGCAGGGAGGGCTTGAGAAATTGGGTCCCTGAGCCCAGATGGGGGACTTGGATTGGCTCCTGGCTTTGACCGTGGCCCAGCCCCAGCCCCAGCCGTCGCAGGCAATTGTGGAGTGAACCTGTGCGTGGGAGCTCTCTGGGTCTCTGTCTCTCCAATAAATAATTGCACAAGTCACTAGGCAGGCCAGACAATTCCCAGGGAAGGAAGGCTGGAAATGGGCCACATAAATGGGTCAGCAGGCAGAGCGCAAAGACGTGTGGATGCAGGGTGTGTGGCAGGACCCACAGGAAGGGTGCGGGCAGTCCTGACGTTACACCGAGAGACCGCCCGGTCCACCCCAAATTGGAGGTACACTCCTAGCAAGCAGCTGTCTTCCTCGTCTCCCGTCTGTGACAGACCGATTGCACGAAGGCAGAGTCAGAAACCTCGGTCCTCCCGGTCCCAGGCCCATCACGCAGCTCTCCCAGGCTGTCTTCTGAGTTCCCGCAGTTTGAGCTCTTAGCTGACTACAGGGGTTCTGAACGCGCAATAGGAAGACAGTGGAGAGGTGCTAGGCTGGGGGGGAGGGGGAACCTGGGACTGACCCAGGTCCGGCTGGCGTGGACGCCACCCCTGGGCAGCCCGCTCAACTGTCACCTGCCTTCCTGGGAGCTGCGGCTGAGACCTGGATGCAGGCACCTCGTGTGCAGAGGTGGGGCTTTGGGAAAAGGCAGAATCGGGGCCAGCGCTGTGGTGCAGTAGGTTAATCCTCCGCCTGAAGCACCGGCATCCCATATGGGCGCCGGTTCTAGTCCCGGCTGCTCCTCTTCCAATCCAGCTCTCTGCTGTGGCCTGGGAAAGCAGATGACCCCAAGTCCTTGAGCCCCTGCACCCACATGGGAGACCGGGAAGAAGCTCCTGGCTCCTGGCTTTGGATCGGCGCAGCTCTGGCCATTGCAGCCAATTGGAGAGTGAATCATTGGATGGAAGATCTCTCTGTCTCTCCCTCTGTCTCTCTGTCACTGTCTGTAACTCTCTCAAATAAATAATCTTTTTTTAAAAAAAGAAAAGGCAGAATTGTGGGGGTTCTGGCCTTATCGATGGGGCTGGTGGCCAGAGGTCCCCTCTGCCTCGCGAGGACGCATCCATAAGGCACCATCCTTTTCTTGTTTTCTTTTTAAAGATTTACTTATTTGAAAGATGGAGAGACAGACACGTTCCATCCACTGGTTCACTCCCCAGATGGCTGCACTGGCCAAGGCTGGGCCAGGCTGAAGCCAGCGGCAGTGAACTCCATGAGGGACCTTGGGTTTGCACATTCCTGTACTTTTCCATTCTCGTTTTTTAAAAACTTATTTATTTGAAAGAGTTACAGAGAGAGAGGGAGAGGGAGAGAGAGAGCAGTCTTCCATCTGCTCATTCACTACCCGAGTGGCTGCAATGGCCAGAGCAGAGCTGATCTGAAGCCAGGAGCCAGGAGCTCCCTCCAGGTCTCCCACGTGGGTGCAGGGGCCCGAGGACTTGGGCCATCCTCCACTGCTTTCCCAGGCACATTAGCAGGGAGCTGGATCGAAAGTGGAGCAGCTGGAACATGAACCAGACTCAAACTGTGGGCTGGCAAACGTATGAAAACACATGGTGTAGTTATGCAGCCACTAGAGAGCAGGCTTAGGAACGGTTAGCTGGCAGTTGGGAGGCGAGAGCCACGGAAACCTGCGTGCAGAGCCGGAGTGACTGTTACAGCCCGGACAGGACCTGCAGTCGGCTGAGTGCGGCCAGCGTAAGGACTTCCAAACCCCAGCAGCTTCGCGGCCCGTCCTTTGGTGAAGGATCGGAGTTGCCCAAAGTTGGCTGCGCTCTGGGAGACCTGGGGCAGAGGGGCCATCACTCCCCGACCGTCTCCCCACTTGCGAGGACAGTGACAAGGATGACAGGGGAGTGGCGGGGACCTGGCCCTGGCCGCGCCCACTGTGGAGCAGTCAGCGGGTGCAGCCAGCAGGGTAAGGGGGCCACCTCGCCCCAGCTGTGCCTGCACCCGGGGCCATGGCAAAGGCCGGCTCCCACCTTTGAACAGGCAGGGTTGAGACGAGCTGGAGTCTGGGGACACACCCTGCCCTGCCCTCACCTGGACCGTCCCCCATCACTGACGCCAGGCGTGTTGGGCCTGAGCCGCGGCCTGCTCGTCCCTGAGGGTGCAGGGAGGAGGCCAGAGCCCTCGCAGCACCCTTTCCATTCTTGCACTCTGTAGGGGAGAGGCAGGGACTCCCGGGACCTGGTCAAGGTGTGTCTCGCGCCGGCTGTGGCTGCAGAACACCTGAGACTAGGTGATTGACTTTATTATTTATTTAAATCTTTATTTATTTGAAAGGCCAAGTTACACAGAGAGAGGGAGGTAAGAGACAGACAGATCTTCCACCTGCTGGTTCACTCCCCAAGTGGCCACAACAGCCAGAGCTGGGCCAGGCCGAAGCCAGGAGCCAGGAGCTTCATCCAGGTCCACCACATGAGCACAGGGGCCCAAGCACTTGGGCCATCTTCCACTGCTCTCCCAGGCTCATTAGCAGTGGAGCAGCCGGGACTCGAACCAGTGCCTGTATGGGATACTGGCGTTGCCGGTGGTGGCTTAACCCGCCGCGCCACAGCGCCGGCCCTGGGACTGGGTAATTCATAAGGAACGGAAGTTTACTAGGCTCGGTTCTGGAGGCTGGGACGTCCAAGCATGGCGCTGGCATCTGGTGAGGGCCTTCGCGCCGTGACATCCAGAGCAGATGGCGGGAAGGGGAGATGGAACTGGGCTTTGTAACAAACCCACACTCACAGTGAACTAACCCTCGCCACGCCGTGAGCCTCACTCCCCAGCACGGCGGCACCGGGGACCAGGTCTCCACCAGCACGGGGGCCTCGGGGTCACACCCAGAGCACAGCAAGGTGACAGATGTGACATGTGGCACCGCAGCCCTTGGCTCCGGACTCACCACCGCACGTCGTCTCATCTCCGTCTCCTCCCTGGCGGCGGGCGCCAGGCCTGTGGAGCCCCTGTGTCCCAGGGCCGGCAGAGGCAAACAGTGTGGCGGTGCACCTGACACGGGGAGAGGGAACCAGTCGGTCCCAGTCGTGCTCGGGTGACCTGGGACCGGCAATCCAGGTCATCGCTGTTTGAATCCTGAAGCAAGCGGACTGAAGAGAAACCCAGAAAACAGGAATTGACAGTAGATGTCACTCCCGCCACGTCCCCAGAGGACGACGGGAGAAATGCCATCTTCAGCAGCCCAGATTTTACCGGGGAAGGCACTGTCCCCAGCCACACGCGCTCACTGAGCTCCTTCCTCCTGCACTGGGCAGCACCCACCGGCCCCAGGCAAATCCATCTGCTGCCGCTGGGCAAGGCTGCCCAACCGTGGCGCTCCTGGCGCTGGGGGCTGCACACTGCGGGATGCCGAGCACCACGCCAGACTCCTGCCCACCAAGGACAGCAGCACCTCAAAGCAACTGTCCCTGCACGGGGTCACCTGTCCCCTGTGGCCAGGATCAGCCCTGGCTGAGGGCTGTTGCTTTAAGGAAAATGGACAAGGGGCTCTTCTGTGTGGGCCCAGGCATCTGACCAGGCACGGCCACGGTGCCACCATCACTTCACACCACAGGGCGGTGCTGGCAAACTGGCCCATTTCCAGTTCCACAATCACCGCTCCTCTGGCCAGCCCAGCACCAGGCTCCGCGTGGCGCGCGGATCCCAGGGAGGGAAGCGCACACGGATCACTGAACCTGCCACTCGGGGGCTCACCTCCCAGCCAGCGGCTCCCGGGCGGGTGTGAGCTGCCCGTGCTTTCCAGGTTCACGGCCAGCCGCCGTGTCCCGCGTGCCATCTCCTCTGCCAGCCGCCCTGTCCCAGGTGCCCCGCGTCATCTCCTGTGCCAGCCGCCGTGTCCCGGGTGCCCCTCGCCATCTCCTGTGCCGGCCGCCGTGTCCCGGGTGCCCCTCGCCATCTCCTGTGCCGGCCGCCGTGTCCCGGGTGCCCCTCGCCATCTCCTGTGCCGGCCGCCGTGTCCCGGGTGCCCGCGTCATCTCCTCTGCATTTTTCTGGCCCCATTCTCATACTGATTAAATCGGTGTCTGGGGGTGACCGGGGGGCCCGGTGTTTGTTACTCAGAACTCGCTGGCTGTGCCATGCTTCCATGCTGACCGCACCGACTCAAGGAACTAAAATTATTCATTCACAGTGAGAGCGAGCTGTTCTGGGGAAAATTCATTAGCTGAACCATTTCTGGCATCTGAAATAAAGAATTATACTCCCCCCCCCCAAGAAAATAAGCACACACACAAAAAGACCAAAACTGTTTTTGAAAAAGTGCTTTGAGAATTTACTGTACAATTTTTAACAATTCATTTATATGTTGGCCTCTACATGCTCTTCTATTCGTGTAAAACATTTATACAGTCTTTACATTTGTACATGGATTTAATGGCTGTATCATAAACACTGTTCTATGGGATTTTATAAAAGAGGAATCAGGAGGGGAATTACTTATAAAACATTAACAAAACCCCGTGATACTGAAGAACAGCAGAGTTCACACTGGCTTCTCTTCCGGCTTCATTTATTCATGCCGGCCCAGGCTTCCCACTTTCCACCCCATAATTATTAGGTCAGGAAGCAGAGCAGGGGAGATAAGGCAGTAAGGCAGCTGTGGAAGGCGGCCTGGCTGCCCGCGTGGCGGACGGCGTGGCTGGCGTCCAGACCTCGGGCGCCCTGTGTTGCTTCGTGCCCTCGACTCGGGTAGTGGGGCCCAGAAAGCGTCCATAGGGACGGCAGGCAGAGCGACCCTGCACCACGGCTCATGCTCCGCACGCCCCGCCCCGGGGCCAGACCACAGCTTCCCTGTCCACACAGCACCCCCTGGCCCGTGCTCCTCCCTCCCCTGTCCGACCTCCCTCCTTGTCCTAACAGGGCGGGGCAACGCTCTGGAGGGGCCGGCCCGCCCCTTCCTACGGCACCCCCAGCAGGGGGCCAGCGAGGCTGCCCGTGTGTGGGGCAAAGCCGCAGAGGCTTGTGAAAATCTGACTTTTCTTTCCAGCAGGAAGCGCGCCTTGAGCACAACTAGGGAGGAAGAGCAGGGAGGGTGCACAGGAGCTGCAACCAAGGCCCCAGAGGCCGCAGGGCCACAGCCCGGGAGGGGACACAGCCGGGCCGCCTGCCACAGACCACAGGGGGCGCCAGCAGCCCGGCCTCGCCCCGGCTTCCCGGCTTCTGCAGTGTAAGCACTTAAGTCACAAACGCAGACTTCCCAAGGACTGAAAAAAGTTATAAAAAATACAAATATATATATTTTTTATTCTGGCATATTCATATTTTAAGAAAGCAATTAGTAATTAATTATCTGACATTGGGTGAGAACTGAAAGATTGTGGGTGACTTATAAATTACGATTCTAAGTAAAATAGGAGTGGGAGGAAACCCCTAATTTTCCATTCAAATTTCTGATAAACTTAAGTGTTTTTCAAAAATAGACAATTTCCATTGGCTTAAATAATGGAAATGGAGAGAACGGGCCATCTCTGGAGACGGCGCGTCGGGCGGCGACATGGAAGACGCGCTCCGCAGGCCTCGCTGTTCCGCTGCTCTCTCCTCGGGACGGAGGAACCTGCTTCCGGCCGCGCCGCCTCCTCCTGCGCCGGCCGCGCTACATGACCGGGAAGCGGCTGAGGGCCTGCCTCAGCTTCTCGGCGATCTGGCGAGGAAACAACCCGAGAGCGTCACCTCCTTACCACGCACGGCACGGCACACTGTCTAGGATTTCTCCCTCTGATGGGCTCAAGGGCAACTGGCCTGTGCGCCGAGCCTCTCCCACACAGGGGGCAGGCAGCCCTGCCTGGAGGCCCCTCCTGGTCTGGACAAGTGTGGGCTCCGAGACGCCCCCCGCAGGTCACGTCCTGGCGTGTAGACAGGACGGCCTTGTCCTGAAGCTGATGGCGGCCAGTGCACCGCTGTTCACGCGCCCGTGCCTCCCTCAAGGAGGGCACAGGCGTCTCATTCACTCTGGGATCCGAGCATCGGGAGCAAGTGCTTAGTATACAACAGGCACTCAATAAATGTTTGCTCCACGAATAAATGTGCAAGTCTTACTAACTTAAGAGTTACTTTGCCACCAGACTATGTCAGATCTAAAGCCTCGCTGTTGTGTGAGCCCCGTATGCTTGCCCAACAGTGACTGAATATGCGGTTTTCTACTCTGAATTACAATGCCATAGGTAATCACACCAGCTGTAGTTGAAAACCACCCAACAAATCAACAGGACGAGAATTTCAAGCGATGGCCTCCGGCCCTCCTCACAGAGGCAAACGTAAGCTCTACTAGCACACGCCGAGCAGGCGCCACGAACGGGGAGGGCAAACTCCGCTCAGCGAGTCCCTCCCGCGGGCCTGTCCCCCACGCGACTCGCACAGTCCCCTCCTGGAGCCCCTGCTGCAGGGCTGGCTTGGGCGGGCTTGGCTGTCACTTCCCCAGAATGCAGGTCAGGGCCACCGTGGACGGAGGGGCCCGTGGGGAAGGCGGCAGCCAGCCGCCGGTCAGCTGTGCAGCCGGGGACGTTTCCAGGACGCCCTGCGTGGTCTGCTCTGGACACTCTGGACACACAGGGCAGCCCCGCCAGGTGTGACAGTCGACACTTTCCTTCCTGGTTCCAAGTGACAACATCGACGGTCTCCTCCTCCCTTCTCGCTGAGGCTCCCCTAGGATGTGGCAGGCCTCACTCACGGACAAAGCCGCCTAGGTCTGCGTGGTGCCAGGCTCAGAGCTGGTGGCGGCAGGGTGACCTCAGCCCACTCAGCAAGGACTCTGAGGCCTCGCACTATCGTCCAACACTCCTTCCTCAGAAGAAAACCTTTCCAACCCAGTGCTACCCCAAAAGGAAAAGGCAGATGGAACTGAGGGCTTTAAAACACACCAGTTCAAAACATAACTTCCTTTGGCCTATGACTTGGGTTTAAAGAGTCCAAACAGAGGAACCTGCCTGTGGTCAAAGTCAGCCCCCATGAGCACCTGTCCTTGGGTGGGAGTGGGGCAGGGACAGGAGCACCACTCACCGTCTCGTAGAACTGCACCTGCTGCTCCAGGTAGAGGCGGATGACGCTGTTGTAGTCGTAGATCCGGTTACTGTGGAAGTGGTTCATCTCAGCTGCAACCCAAACCGAGCCATCAGTCAGCTCCTCCCCACATCTGAGACAGAAACACCTGACTCCCCGTCTCAGGCCGATTCACCACCAACCGGACCTAACCCGGCTGCTGCGGTGTGTGCAGTTCTTGGAAAATCATTTTATAAAGAGGTTAGAAGCCCAAGTTCAAGGGTGATCGTTCTCTGATTTGCACATTAAGTACATGAGGCCCACGTGCGGCCCCCCCTTCTGCCAGCACTGGGCAGACAGGACGCAGACGTGGTGGTGCTCTGCGCAGGGCTGCAGGGCAAGGTGCTGAGGGTGCTCGTGTGCGCTGGCCACACAGCCCCGGGCCCTGGCAGACTGGAGGGACGCAGCGGCTCTGCTGCCCGCGCACCACTGTGACGTCCCCACGACAAGCCCGCTGTGCCGAGTTCCATGTCGAGCTGTCTGAGGCTGTGTAAAGCCTCTTGGGTAACCTCAGAGCTCAAGCCCACATCTCCCACTTCAATGCCCCGAAGCCCACCTCTGCCATCCCGACAGCCGCTTCTGGCTCCCCACGGCATTCACAGCTCTGCTTCTGCCCGTGAGTCCTGGCCTGAAGGGCTCGGAAAGGCCGCAACACACTTCATTCTCCCCTCCCAGTTGCCTATCTTGAGGGCCTCAAAACCTCAGACCACACAAGCAACCGTCAGTTCTGGGTGGGCTCTTGGCCGAACGTCCGCCCCTTCCCATCAAGCCCTTCTCCCCTGAGAAGTGCTCCCCGCTGTCCACCCCCAAACCTTTCAGTGGTTTCCCAACGGCCACATCAAAGGCAGACGCTTGCACCCCGCTTTTGGGCTCCTCCACCATCATCAAAATGCATCTCCCAACAACTCGCCAGCACGTTCTCCTGTCCCGGGCCAGGACATGAGCTTGAGCCATTACTTTGTGGACCTTTTTTGTTCACACCAGAAACCCTGCCCTTTCTCCTCTGCCCATCCACTCAGCGACCAGAACACAGGAGCCACCTGCGTGCCGGTCCTACCTGCGCAAAGCCTCTGACAGCTACACACGTTAGTTAGGACCTTCTCTTTCCCATGCCTACAGGGAAACGCCGTGCCCCCTTCACGTCCATGGTCCTGAGGCGTGAGGACTACAGACTACTGGAAGGGGAGTACTGGAATTCAGAGCATTTCGGTATTACCACTTATCAATGTCCCTGAGAAACAGTAAGATGTACGGGTTTAACCTGCCATTCACAGCTGTGTCATACATCTTCATTAATACCTGGATCTTGCAGACAAGGTGCTGGTGGGTTTTTAGAATCTGCTCTTTTTATTGAGCTATTGTTCCCATTTGGGTTTCTCTCCAGCAGGCAAAGCATCAACTTTTCTGGGTTAAAACATCTCCAGGAGCCACGGGCAACCTCTGCATCTCACCTTGCAGTGCGTAAGACATGGTGCCCACTCGCTTCACCATCATCTGCTTGTCCTGTGGGGTGATTTTGCTCGTTGCGACTAGTTTGTCACTTTCTTTCACTTTCTCTATGGCGCCCTGTGGAATACAAAATACAACAGTGTTAATAAAACTAAGCTAAAGGAATAGTCATTAAATACAACAAGGCTAATGTATTCTATGACTGACTTGTCACTGAACAGGAAACCATCCCCACAAAATAAGAGCAGAGGAAAGCATCTAAATTTAACTTCCTTCAAGATCTTTGGATGCAAAAAGGTTGCTACTGCAGAGAAATTAGCTCAGTGAAAATCTGCAGTTTCACACCGTAACAAGAGGAACAGCACGCACCTCGGGGACACTGGTAAACCATCGCCGTGTAACAACATCGCGGTGGGTGTCAGTGGGCGTCGTGGCGCAGCGGGTACGGTAAGCAGCTGCTCGGGATGCCCACCTCCCCTGCAGAGGGCCGGCTCAAGTCCAGGCTCGCCCACTTCTGATCCAGCTTCCTGAGCACACAGCCTGGGAGGCGGCAGATGACGCTTCAAGTGTGTGGGCTCCTGCCACCCATACGGGGACCCGGATGTAGTTCTGGGCCACTGGCTCAACTGTGAGCACTCGAGGAATAACCCAGTGGATGGAGGCTCGCTCTCACTCTCTCGCTCTCCCTCTCTCTCCAAAAGACTAGCACATGACAGGGAGAGGCATTAGTAGGTTTGGAGGTCGCATGACCAGGCACAGAGAAGCACGCACATGGGCACGCTGTCTCTTCCTTGACAAGCTGATCTGTAAGGTTTGGGCTTTATTTTGACTTTTGGACGAGGCACTGATTTAATTTAGATTCACTCTTCACGCAGCAGTGCTGGGGAAGCCGCCAGGCATCTCTCACTGCAGTCACCACACTGCTCGTTGTCTGGGGCTGTCTGGAGAAAGCTCCATGTGCATGCCCCGTCAGACTGCACGTGTGCGACCCTGGCTCTGCTGACAGACCTCCACAGCGAGCCACGTGCCCTGATCTGCTGTCACCTGGCCTTATCTTGCTGTGACACCCCTTCATGACACTTAGAAAGCCGAGTGCGGTCGTGGCCGTGAGCCAGCCCCAAGATCCCAGAGCAGAGCCTTCCTGACACAGCACGCGCGCCCCACACCTGAGCGCAGGCGTGGAGCTGCCCAGAGGCAGGGAACACCCTAGCCAGTCCTCCGCTTACACAAACCTTCAAGATGGGAAGCATAGTTTCTTTTTATGTAAAAAAGAAACAAGGTAAATGGGTGACAAGCCCGCAGGCCCGGGCCACGTGGCGCACGCTCTGCAGACGTCGGGATGCAGTTACCTTGTGAGCGCCAATGATGTCGGGGAAGCAGCCCAGGAAGCCCTTGTACTCGTGATTGCATTCCATCAGGAAGTGGAGATCCTTCTTCGGCTACAGAAGACACAGGTCGGTTGTTACTGGCAGAATTCAGAAAACCAAGGGAAAGAAATCGTGTATCTGAGGACTCCACTACCCGGTTCTCCAAGTGTTACCCTAATTAAGCACTCAGATTAGTTCTCCTCAAAGGAAGGAGTTCCCAGGAGTACTACACTCTGAGCACAGGCTGTGAGGAAAATGACAAGACAGCATGACTGTAAAATCAGCCACTTTGAAGTGGCCACAATATAACACTACGAGGGAAAAATGTAGTTTAACTGTATGTTTAAAGTCAAGTAAGTATACGTAATACAAATGCGTTGTCAGGATGTCTAAATGTTGGCAGAGAACATGTAAGAATATTATGACATGAGGCTCGTGCTGTGGCACAGCGGGTTAACGCTGCCTGGGACTCCGACATGCCACACGGGAGTGTCTGCCCTGACTCAGGGCTGCCGGCTTCAGGTCCAGCTGCCCTGCTCCGTGTGCCTGGGAGGCGGCAGGCGGTGGCCCAGGTACTTCAGTCTGTGCATCCCCGGTGGGGGCCCCGATGGAACTTCTGGCTCCTGGCTGCAGCCTGTGCTAGCTCTGGATGCTACAGGTATCTGGGGAATGAACCAGTATATGGAAGATCTCTCTGTCTTTCCTCTCTCTCTGTCCCTCTCCATTTCAAATAAATAAACAAACGAATAAATAAAAAAATCTTTAAAGAAACCAAATCGTATCAGGTTGAATTAAAAAAACTAGTAAAAAATTTAAAAGCCTTGTAATGCTTTTCAATGGCAACATTAAATTCTCATTTTTTCTATATTCTAATTTTTAACAACTACTACCATTCTAAAAATTAATTTATTTTTACAAGGATTAGGAAAGTCATGACCTCATCATTTTGTGCATGTGGAAACATATTTCAAGAAGGCTCATAAAATCTTTTTTTATTGAGTGATTTGAAGCAACTTAAACAATTACTCCGCACAAGGGAACTTAGCATGTTATTGTAGAAAGAATTAGGATTGGACTAGGAATGACCCGTAACAGCTAAGCAGTGGGGCGATGCTGTGGCACAGTGGGTGAAGCCACTGCTTATGACCAGTCCCTGCTAATGTGCCTGAGAAAGCAGCAGAGGATGGCCCAAGTCCTTGGGGCCCTGCCCCACTGTGGAGCCCAGAACTCTGGGCCCAGCCATTGTGGTGATTTGGGGAGGAGGAAGGATATTTCTGTCTCTCTCTCTCTCTGTCATTTGCACCTCTTAAATAAATAAAATAACTTGTGTTTTAAAAAAGAGCTAAGCAGTTGAAACAAAGATCTGCCTGTGCTGGGTACTGCGACAGGTGCTTTTCATTTACTAGCTATTAAATCCTGAGAACCACATGAGGCAGGCACTACCACAGCCACTCAACAGATTGGGAAACTGAGGGCCAGAAAGGCCAAGTAATAGTCCAAGTAGATTAGAATCCCTAGAGGGCCAGGAATGGATCAGTGGTGTCAACACTGGAAGGCATGGTTTAGAGTCTCTGATGACAAATTTTCTCATCCACTTGGCAAACCTAAGAAACACTACTATCAAAATCAATGAAAAGGGGGTGGTGCTGAGGCATGGTGGGTTAAAGCCCCGGCCTGCAGTGCTGCCATCCCACATGGTCACAGGTTCGAGTCCCGGCTGCTCCACTTCTGATCCAGCTCCCTGCTAATGTGCCTGAGAAAGCAGCAGAGGATGGCCCAAGTCCCTGGTCCCTGCACCCATGTGGGAGACCCGGAAGAAGCTCTTGCCTCCTGGCTTCAGATCAGTCCAGCTTTAGCCACTGTGGCCATTTGGGGAGTGAACCAGCAGATGGAAGACCTCTTGTAATTCTGTCTTTCAAATAAATAAAATAAATCTTTAAAAAACATCAATGAACAAAGAGGCAGAAACAGAGAAGAGGGTATCCATTCGGAAAGTCTGCCGTAGACTAGGTTTCCAGTTGAATATGTAGATTCGAGAGCACACCTCACCGCTGACGTGGTGGGGTTCCGTCAGTACCTGCTCTGCCACAAGGTTGGCGATTTCTTCATACGTCTTTCCTGCTTCTGTTATTGCATCATTGAGATCTGTTTCACCTGAAAACATTGCAGTTTTAGCAGTGTGCACAAGTTGTAATTTTTTCTATTAAAATTCGACATTGATGTTTTATTACAGACAATTTCAAACACTTTTCAAACAAGGGGAATGAATATAAAATGATCCCATTTCCCTCCCCACAGTGTCCCAATCCAGAGCTCACAGCAACCTTTCCCACCCAAGCTCTCCACGCCCACCTCCCCTTTCATGGGACACACAACATGCCACGCATCAATGGTACCTAAAAGGTGAGGACTGTGTAAGGAATGACAGCTGCATTACCACTCCTAAGAGACCACCCTTTAAGGCGGACCACCCAGCTAGTGTGCAGAGCTCCTGCAGCTCAGGGCCAGTGGGCTGTCTAAATCAGCCAGCCAGTGTTTCTTAAATCTACGGGGTAGGGGCTGGCATTGGGGCATATGGGGTAAAGCCACTGCCTGCAATGCCACATCCCATATGGGCATGAGTCTTGGCTGTTCCACTTCTGATCCAGCTCTCTGCTATGGCCTGGGAAAGCAGCAGAAGATGGCCCAAGTCCTTGGGCCCCTGCACCACATGGGAGACCGGGAAGAAACTCCTGGCTCCTGGCTTCAGTCTGGCCCAGCCCTGGCCATTGCAGCTATCTGAGGAGTAAACCACTGGATAGAAGATCTCTCTCTCTATAATTCTGCCTCTCAAATAAATAAACGGAACCTAAAAATAATAAATCTATGGGTTCTCTCCCTTGCCTTTTTTTCCCCACTTTGTGGGTGTTGGAAGAACCCAGGCCACACGCCTTGGGTATCTACACTACGAAGTCTGCTAATTGCAGCTGACATTTCTCTGCCCCCTCCCGTCTTCTCTTTTTCACTGGATCCAGGGGCCTGATCAAATTCAGGAGATGTCACTTTGCTATTTCTGTTTGTTATCATGTTGGAAGGCATGAATGATCACCACAGCGCCAGCCCCAGGACACTTCTAAGAAGAGAAATGTGATGGACTTTCTGGTTAGCTGGAGATACAATCTGAATGGAAAGCAAGTTAAATGCTTGACTCTTTCTCTCAGGTTTTCAGAATACTGAACTGATCCCCCACCAAATAGGGAAACAGAAACATTTTTCAAAAATATCTTTAGGAATCTGGATTTGAATATATTTGCTAGGCTTCAGTTACTATTTTCACTGATGTTCAATTTTTCTCTTCATTGCCCAGGGGAAGGCTCTCAGGGCCTCTCAGCACTGCTGAAGGGGCCTGGCTCATTTGGTGGGATGTGGACTTAGACCCCACCCGTGAGCGGTCCTGTGCTAGGAGATGCTTCTCGCGATTCATTGGATACCTGCTCCTAGGCCTTTTCAGTGAACAAAGTAAGAAAAGCTGTACTTTTTTTAAATAAGAAAAATAAATAATGAGCTCATACTTTTATTTCCAACTTAAATTTAAGACTAATAAGTGGCTAATTTATTCTAAAACATTTAATTTTTATTTAAAGACATTAATTGCCGATTAATTAAGCTCAATTACAACAGTGATAAGATTACCTATCTGCTTTACTCTACAGTATGTAAAATAGTTGAAGGTTTTAGGATATCAACGCCAGTATTTTGTTTTTTTAAGATTTATTTATTTGAAAGTCAGAGTTACACAGGAGAGAAGGAGAGGCAGAGAGAGGTCGGTCTTCCATCCGCTGGTTCACTCCCCAGTTGGCTGCAATGGCCAGATCCGAAACCAGATCCGATCCGAAACCAGGAGCCAGGAGCTTCCTCCAGGTCTGCCATGTGGGTGCAGGGGCCTGAGAACTTGGGCCATCTTCTGCTGCTTTCCCAGGCCATATCAGTGAGCTGGATCAGAAGTGGAGCAGCCAGGTCTTGAACCTGCACCCATATGGGATGCCGGCACTGCAGGCAGTGGCTTTACCCACTAAGCCACAGCACTGGCCCCATCAATACCAGTATTATATTGCTAATTGTTTGATCAGTGAAAACTACTAAATTTTTTTTTGCAGTCTTTCTGAGCTTAAGGTATCTGCTTACTAGGGATACGATCAAAACAATGTTTTTAAGGATATTTGAAATTATCCCTCTGTGGTTATACCTTCATCATTTGTTTTATTTTTTTTTTTTTCCCATTTAGATTTAAATTGGTCTTCAAATAATTATGTCCACTAAGGAAGATAAAAACCAGAAGTCTACCTGTCCCTCTCCTGGGTAATGTTTAGAAGCCTCAGTGGGCGCTGATTCGGCACGGCAATGTGCAAGAACGCAGGGGGTGCCACGGCTCTGACGGGGCTGTGCTGCCCGCGGCCTGTCAGAGCAGCCCTGGACGTTGTATTCAGTGTGATCAGGGGCTCCCAGGAGGCAGACTCCTGCAAGCTGGTGCGGTACGGCACTGCTCCAAGACACCACACAACTGAGAAGGGCGGGGGGAGACACAGTCTCAGCCTTAAGGCCTCCCCGTTCTGAAATTCCAGAAGTCCCGCAGCAGGAACTGGGCGGCGGTTCCCTAAAGGCACCATCTTTCCTCAGCTGGTTTGCAACAGGAACTATGTATACCGAGTTCCTTTAGTACTGCGATACAATCACTTAACCAGGTAGGCCGGGAGACGGCCGGGACGCCCACATCCCGTATCGGAGTGCCTGGGTTCGATGCCCAGCTCTGCTTCTGATCCAGCTTCCTGCTAATGCAGATCCTGGGAGGTGGCAGACAACGGCTTAAGTAGTTGAGTCCCTGGACCCATGGGAAATCTGGATTGAGTTCCTGCCTCCGGGCTCCAGCCTGGCCCATCCCCAGCTGTTGAAGGCACTCAGGGAATGAATGGTGGATGGGAGCCTTCGCTCTCTCAAGTGCAATAAAATAAATAAAAACGTATGATTTAATTGTGAATAGTTCCTAAGCTTCTTGTGACTTCAGATAACTGGAGATCCTAAATCTGGGGACATGCATTTTAATCTGGCAACAGACTGGGATCACCAGAAGGAAGATGGTTACTCTTCCGTTCCTGTAGGATGTAGACGACAGCAAGACTGCTGCTGTCACCACCATAAAACACCGACTAAATTTTTCAGAAAAAGTCACTCTCATCCTCAGAGGCACTGAACTTCTGTAGAAATGACAGCTGCACTCAGAAGGGGCGCGTTCCCCCAGCCTTGGTGAGCGGGGGCTCGGGCTGGGCTGTGAGGGCGGCTGGGCGGCAGCTGTGCCCAGGCAGGGAGCTCTGCCAGGGCCGCAGGCACCAGCTGGGCCCTGAGGGAAGTCCTGGGTTGAGGTGGGGGATGGGACCTGGGAGCCAGATGCAGAGCTCATTCTACAGGCCCTCGGGGGCCAACAAGGGGTGATAGGAAGCTGTGGGCAGGGCTCGAGAGCTGGGAGATGTCTCTTAGGTGAGGCTGAAGGAAGGCCCGGCTGCAATGAATTCTGATACTGAAGATGCCATTGTAGGGCTGGCACTGGGGTGCAGCGGGTAAAGCCACTGCTTGCAGTGCCGGCATCATATAGGGCGCCAGTTTGAGTCCCGGCTGCTCTACTTCCAATCCAGCTCTTTATTATGGCCTGGGAAAGCAGTGGAAAATGGCCAAAGTCCAGGGCCCCTGCACCTGCACGGGAGACCCAGAAGAAGCCCCTGGCTCCTGGCTGTGGATCCAGCAGCTCTGGCCACTGTGGCCATTTGAGGAGTGAACCAGCGGACAGAAAACCTCTCTTTCTCTCTCTGCCTCTCTGTAACTCTGCCTTTCAAATAAATAAATAAATCTTAAAAAAAATGCCACTGTGATCAACCAGTTATTTTTCCCAATTTCCAGAACAAATAAGCTCGGCTGGTCAGAATATCAGAGCACCACACAGGTGACGGGCTCTTGGACACTGTGAGCACCTAAGCAACGAGAACGGGCCTCGTCCTGGCTCTTACATCAACCACTCGCTACCCTGGCCGGGACCTTTCTCTTTCTAGGCCTCAGGCTCCTTGCCTAACAGCAATTCAAAGCTCCCTTCCAGTCTGAAGAGTGTTGATTCCAAGACACAGTTAAGCCAGGCCAAGCAGAAGCACTTGCAGACTGAAGTTTCAAATCTAACTTCTTCTTGACTATTTCTTCTCCAAATACCCAGAATTGATAGCCAAAGTCCTGCCTTCCGCTCAAAGTACCAGCTCCACCACTCAGTGATACTGAATGCTCAGTTTACTAGGTGCCTCCTAGCTAACGAAGGCTTTTTCTTTCTCACAAAGGGAAAAAGCTAACTTGTTCTCATAAGTGTTGCTGATGTAAAAGTACAATGAACTCTAAATACCATAGCTAAGGGGCCGGCTAGTGTTGTGGAGTGGCGGGTAAAGCCACTTTCTTTTTTTATTTATTTAAAGATTTTGTTTATTTATTTGAGAGGTAGAGTTACAGACAGTGAGAGGGAGTAACGGAGAGAAAGGTCTTCTATCCGCTGGTTCATTTCCCAAATGGCTGCAACGGCTGGTGCTTTGCCAATCTGAAGGCAGGAGCCAGGAGCTTCTCCTAGGTCTCCCATGTGGGTGCAGGGGCCCAAACTCTTGGGTCATCTTTTACTGCTTTCCCAGGCCATAGCAGAGTGGATCAGAAGAGGAGCAGCCAGGACTAGAACCAGTGCCCATATGGGATGCTGGCACTGCAGGTGGAGGATTAACTGACTGCGCCACAGCGCCAGCCCCAAGCCACTTTCAATGCTGGCATCCCATATGGGTACTGGTTTGAGTCTGGCTGCTCCACTTCCAATCTAGCTTCCTGCTAATGGCCTGGAAAAAGCACAGGAGGATGATCCAAATGTTTGGGTCCCTGCCACCCATGTGGGAGACCTGGGTGAAGCTCCTGGCTCTTGCCTGGCCCAGGGCTGGCCACTGCCACCATCTAGAGAGTGAAACACTGGCAGGAAGATATCTCTCTCTCTGTAACTCTAACTTTGAAATAAATAAATCTTTGGTAAACACATAAATAGTACAGCTAAGCCCCACATGTATGCAGGAAGCTGAAAACAATTCTGGATTATAGGAAGACTTCAGGCAGCAGGTGCTTGTTACTTAGTCAAACATTCTCTCATCAATGACTCTGGTAAGATGACTGGGCAGATTCCACCAAGAGACGACAGAAAGGCAGACTGTTACAGTGCACAGCTACCTGGTCCACTAGAACAAAGAGCTGTATCTGAGGGTGAGAAAGGCAAACGAGCACGGAAGCAAATGCAAATTCCCGCACCCTTCCCTCCACTGTCCTCAGAGGTCGGGGACGAGGCAGAAGCCCTGGGTGCAGCAGCCTGGCCAATTCTCCCAGCAGTTACCAGATGACTCCCTGCAGGGGCGTTGTCTGTGCAGGCCCCTGAGGCCAGCACGCAAGGGGAGACGTACCTTGATAACCGCTGGAGCTGAACACGGTCGCTAAGCTCTGCAAGGCCTTGCCTATCTTCTGGTACTCCTTGGGTAATGCTGAGAGGGGGAGAGGAACACACTGTTACGGAGTGCTCTGAGCGACCGAGACGGGATCCGGCCGAGATTCTTTCCGCAAAGTGACCACAACACAAGACACACACTTGTGAACTAAACACTGATGCGAAGTCACTGCTCAGTCAACAGCTCTGATTCTTAACCGATCGTCCATTATGAATAACCGCCCCCCCAGTCTCGGGTGCTGGAGACACGTCAGTGAAACACGGCTCACTCTGACGACTTCTAGCTCCCAGACACCCCCACAGCGGGCATCACAGCACCCCTCTCCAGACACCATCTCCACGTGTGGGCACAGGTAACTGACCCGACCTGTCCAAGCTCACACCGCTGACAAATGGTAGACTGCCACTTGTGGTTCCAGACTGCTGCTTCCCCACTCTGTTACATGGGGACCAGTCGTCCACCCCTTATCCAGAATGTCTGGGGCTAGCAGGGTTCCAGATTCTGCAGTTTTCTTGTTTTAAATTTTGGAATATGTGCATGGACTTTACTGGTTGAACATTGGTGCCCAAAAAGTTTTAGGTTTCAGAGCATCTCAGATTTTTGGGTTAGGGAGGTTCAACCTGAATAACTGATCACCTGCAAAGTGATATCAACCAACCAATCAAAAACTGCCAGCATCAGGTGTGGTGAGAGGCAACCCTGGGGCCCGAGTGTGCGTGTGTCCGCGGAGGTGACGGACTGACTGGGCCTTCAGGTCCTGCGTCAGGTCCTGTGTCAGGCCCTGCAGTGCTGCGGCTGGGGTCATTTTCGGAGAACTCCAGAGCACAGCCCGTTTCTTAGGATACTGAATCTGTGCCTGGTTCCCTCACTTGCATCTACTGCCTCTCAAGAGAAACCATCGTTTGCCTTGAAGACTGAACTTTAATGCTAAAGAAAAGGGAGGATTTAAACGTCCCTTCAAATATGCATAGGCCAGAGAAATTTGAAGTGGGGTCTGAGAGTCGCAGTCATCAGGAAGCATAAATTCCAACTATCTCAGCTCAGCTAACTGGGGCACACGGCACACGGGCGCCCTTCTGTAGGCAGCACTCGCCTGGCGACCTGGCAGTGACGACCTGCTCCTGTTTCACCACACGCAGGTGACCAGAGGGCTCACTTTTCAGAAAGGCTAGGAGTGTTCTGAAAACCATCTGGTGAACGATCAAAGAGATGTGTGGACCAAGTCCTACATACAGCACCTCAATCCCCCCCCACCCCCATGCCCTCGACAGAGCAGCCTTAAGCCAGTGCTCCCCGTATTACATTTGGCCTTCCACAGGACACGGGCTGACCAGACCTAGACCTTCTCGAAGAGATTTAATTCTTTAGAAGAAACAGCAATCCCAAACGTTTTTGATATCCTTAAAATTGTGCTTGTAAGATTTGCAGTCACTTAAAAAACACAATTTTCAAAGGCCATGTAGGTTTAAAGGATTTGTTATGACGGCTGAAGTGCAGCCACCGCCATGGCAGTGGACTCTCGCGTGTCTGTTAGAGAACAGTGTCACCGGACACTAGACTGTGGCGTCCGGTGAGCTGCGCAGTTCTGGGTGAAGAACAGGGAGGGGGCAAGGTGTCCTCAAGGCCATGGCTGGGTGGGGGCTGTGGCGGACAATGCAGTCTCATCATGCTTTCTAGCAACAGTACTGGCTTCTTCTAAAAATAAAGCCTCCACTTGAATATACAGCATCTTACCAAATGGATGAAGATTAACAAGTAAAACCAGGAGATTTAAAAATAACTACAAGCACTCCAAACATGCAAACAAGATGAACTTCCCACAGACCACCAGACTCCCGATGACTGCAACCGTTTAAGCTAATGGGATTGTTGTGTCTTAGGGGACTTCCTCAGACGGCCTGGTCAGAGTCCAGGGGAGGATGCACGGGCAGGGTGTGGTGTGGCCAGGCACTCACGTCCTGTGCACCGCTTCCAGTGCTCCTGCCCCACGGTCAGCAGCTCCTTCACGCCGTCGTCCATGGCCTTGGTGAATTTCCCCACGGCGTCACACTTCTGCTCTCTGCAACAGTGACACAGGCGGGAAGACCGTGTTGTCAGGAACCTCACACCAGACACACCCCAGCACGCGCTGGCATGGACGGCAACAACTGCCCATTCGCTACATTAAACCCAGGCTTGATTACGGGTTTTAAAGAACTACCTAAAAATACGTCATTTATATTTTAACTTTTGCTTCCTTTCCTGGTGAATTTTTACTAAAATTATTCCAAAGTAAACAAAGTCATCATCTCTTGAATCTCTCATTTAGCGAAATTCCCTTCACTGGAAACACCATCAGACTTCTACAGCAACACCACGGGTCTGGAGGTGGGGGCGCACACAGTCCAGCAAACACTTTAGGAAAACACAGATGATGCCTGGACACACAACCACCGAGGGACACTGAAGACATGGCTCTTTAAAAACGTAAAGGGTGTATTTCCTATCCTAAAAGATCACCAGTGTACACTGTTAAGGAAAAAGCAGATTATAAAACAATGTATAGTGTGAGGTCATCATCTCCAATGGTCACCGACGGACAGAGGACGGTCTGGAAGACACACACCAACACTGTAGCACTGAGCTTTTCTCTGGGCAGGCGGAAGGCTCTGTGTTTCCTCTTGTCTAAATTTTGCTAACATGCAGCAGCAATTTTGTAAGGAAAAAAGCTTCTTAGTGCTGTGGCGTAGTAGGTTAAGCCTCCGCCTGTGGTGCCTGCATCCCATAGGGGTGTCAGTTCGAGCCCCAGCTGTTTTACTTCCAATCCAGCTCCCTGCTAATGGCCCGGGAAGGCAGTGGAAGATGGCCCAAGTGCTTGGGACCCTGCACCCATGTTGGCGACCTGGAAGAAGTTCCTGGCTCCTGACTTCAGATCAGCCCAGCTCCGGCCATTGTGGTCATTTGAGGAGTGAACTAGCAGACGGAAGACCTCTCTCTGTCTCTCCTCTCCCTCTGTAACTCTGCCTCATAAATAAATAAAGAAATATTTTAAAAAAATTAAAAAACAAAACACCAAGAGTTCTTATTACTCCCGCCAGAGAAAAGGAACTAACTCAAAATTTCAACTGAGCTTGTATTTGCAAAAAAAAGATGAAATACAACAGAGTAAAAACAAACACACAGGAAAAGCAGGTTAGTGACTGCTTCTTTCAAGGAGATGTCCTGAGAGAGTCTCCCTTTGTTGAGTTTTGTGTGGGTGGCAGGGGCTCTGTGTGTCTGACTTCATCACTACTTGATTAAAGTAACTACCAGGCACTGTGTCAACCATGCAGCCACAGGCTGCAGGTAAAGGAGGCAGACCCTGCTCTGGAGCTCTGGTTAGAAGGCAGCACTTCCACATGCGTCGCCCCACCAGATTCTCACACTCTGATCTGACAAGTGCATTTCAGGTGTGGCCGTCCTGGCCAGGACTGTAGCCACGGGAGGCGGGCACAGACTGGGAAGAAGTGTGTGGGGGTGTCCCTTACATTTCCAGTAAGTCCAAGTCAGGTGCCTCTGGCTCCATGGTGGAAAATATCATAACTCCCACCAGCTCGTCCTTCTCAGCCTTCCTCTTCCCAGTCTTCCACTCCTGTCAACGAGAACATCGTACCATTAAAGTCATTAGCAGGGTCAACCCGGCTCACTCTTCACCCTTGTCTGCCGCATCCTCAGGGAGCAGCCCCGCCCCCCTCCCTCTGCACTGGGCCCGGATGCCTGTGCCCCAAATGCAACTGCACTGCGTGGGTCATGCCAGTGCTCAGAACAGGCCTCGGAGCGCAAGTCTGAGTGAGCCAACACGAACCCCGCCCTGTGGAGGCTGATGAAGCGCCTGGAGTTCTCAGGCTAACCACTCTCAAACCAAAACAGGTAATGCTTTTCTAGAATATAAGATAAGAACCAATATTAGGAGCTATCTTTTCAATAACTGCTTAAAGATCTCTCCCACACACACATTGTAGAAAAGTGCCGAAGGCAAACACAACCACACAGTGCAGCACAGCCTCACCGAGCGCGCCCTTGTGAAACCATCCCCCGGCCGACAAAGAGACTCAGCTGGCATCCAGGTGCCCACTCCTGCCCCTTCCTCCCCCTGCAGAGGTACCCAGCTCCTCTAGCCATGGCTTCCCTCTCCTTGCTAACCACACATGCTAATTTTCTGAACTGGCAAAGCCCCTAGAGCATGTGCTTAGGCCTGCAACCTGTGCTAAGCCCGTGCCCTCCTGCTGTGGGCAGCTGCAGTCCGTTCATCTCACTGCCGCGTAATAATGTGTTGTGTGTCCATCCCCCGGTCTGTCTATCTAGTCTGCTGGCGATGAGCACATCTCCTGGCACTCCAGGGATGCGTTTTTGCTCAGGATGTGTAGGAGTGGAAGTGCTGAGTCACCGAAGGTGTTCAATTGCAGCAGACAACACCAACCTCGTTTCCTATTGGTCCTGGGAGATCAGGGCTCCGCAGCCCAGGCCCTCACCAGGAGGGCACCTGCTGGCCAACCTTACCCACCCCGAGTGAGCGGGGAGTCTCCCGTGACTTCACCTGCATTTCCTGACTGGTAAGGAGATGAGGACTCAGACACCTGTGAGGTGAGGTCCCGCGTCTCCCGACTACTTTCCACTGGGATGATGTCTTTCTTTTTATTTACACATGGGTTTTCATGTGTTCCAAAATCTAGTCCTTTTCTGGTTATATACACTGCAAGTATCTTCTACTCAGTAGCCGGCTTGTTTTCGCTTCGAATGTCTCTTCTGCTAAGACAAATCGCTGATTCTAACGTCGTCTGACTAACCCACCTCCCTGACTGGTCAGCCCTTTCTGTGTGTTTCAGAAATCCTTGCCTGCTCTAGGGAATGAAGATACTGTCCAGTGTGAGCCACAGCTGAGTTTACTGGGCTGTCTTCCACAGCTGGACCTGTAAGCCACCTGGACTAGGTTTTAAACAGCTCATATAATGGAAAACTTCACACACACAATGAACCCCTACTAACACTCAGCTTCAACAATGACTTAATATTTTGCCAATCCTTTTTTAAAAAATTATTAGTTCATTAAAAGACAGACATGGAGATTTCTACACAAGGTCTTCAGAACACCACGGGACGGGTGGCTTCACAGGCACCACTTCAAAGTGATTCGCCCTGTCCGCCGACTTCCTAGGGAAGCTTCCTGTGGTTGAGAACTGACTCCCTTGGTTCCACCACACTCTGGGAGCACCTCCTCTGGTTCCGTGTCTCCATCTGGACCTTGGCAGCCTGACCCAACAGCTACCACTGTTGCTTGCACTACTTCTCCGTGGGATTTATCTAGAAGCATAATATTTCTTTTGATTACAACATGGGCTGCACTCCCTTGACCACTACTCAGAGAGCAGAAGCCCCCCTCCCCCAGGTATCTGTCCTGCCACGACTCTCCCTAACGCAAGCAGACACGAAGCTGCCCTCAGCACACCAGCAGGTGGGGAAGCTGCCCAGTGCCCATGAGGCTCATCTCTAGGCCCTCCCTGGGAGTTGGTAAACTTGTCGTTTTATTTTTATTTTTTTTAGATTTATTTTATTTGAGAGAGAGAGAGAAAGAAAGAATCTTCCATCACAGGTTCACTCTCCAAATAGCCACAATGACCAGGGCTGGGCCGGGCTGAAGCCAAAAGCTTCTTGCAAAAGCCCAAACACTTGTGCCATCTTCTGGGGCTTTGCATAGCACACTAGCAGTGAGCTGGATTGGAAGTGGAGCAGCCAGGACATGGACCTGTGCCCATATGGGATCCTGGCACTGCAGGGGGCAGCCTTACCTGCTTCACCACAATGCTGGCTGCCAAGCTTGTCTTTTATTTTATTTATTTTAATTAATTTATTTTTTTGACAGGCAGAGTTAGACAGTGAGAGAGAGAGAAAGGTCTTCCTTCCGTTGGTTCACCCCCCAAATGGCCGCTATGGCTGGCGCTGAGCCGATCCGAAGCCAGGAGCCAGGTACTTCCCCCTGGTCTCCCATGTCCCATGTGGGTGCAGGGCCCAAGCACTTGGGCCATCCTCCACTGCCTTCCCGGGCCACAGCAGAGAGCTGGACTGGAAGAGGAGCAACTGGGACAGAAGCGGCACCCCAACTGGGACTAGAACCCGGGGTGCCAGCACCGCAGGTGGAGGATTAGCCTAGTGAGCCGCGGCGCCGGCCCAAGCTTGTCTTTCAGCTACTCTCCTCTGCTCTCACTTTCTCCCCACGTATTTGATGGAAAGGTCAGACACAGTACAGTTTCATCTATACTTCAGTATCTTACTGCATAACTTAAAGGACTTTTTTTTTTTTAAAGATTTCTTTAATTTATTTGAAAGACAGAGTTACAGAGAGAGTAGAGACAGAGAGAGAGGTCTTCCAGCCACTGGTTCACTCCCCAGATGGCCACAACGGCTGGAGCTGTGCCGATCCGAAGCCAGGAGCCTGGAGCTTCTTCCAGGTCTCCCACGTGGGTGCAGGGGCCCAAGGACTTGCGCCATCCTCCACTACTATCCTAGGCCACAGCAGAGAGCTGGATCAGAACTGGAGCAGCTGGAACTAGAACCAGCGCTCATATGGAATGCTGGCACTTCAGGCCAGGGCTTTAACCCGCTGTGCCAGAACGCCGGCCCCTAAGGGCATGTTTTAAAAATAGAACTAGGGTGAGGACTGTGGCACAGTGGGTTGAGCTGCTGCTTGCCATGCCAGCAGCCCACAGCAGAGTGCTGGTTGTGTCTTGGAGCCCCACTTCCAATCCATCTTCCTGCCACGTGGGAGACCCAGAGGGAGCTCTAGGCTCCTGGCTTCAGCTTGGCAGTTACAGGCATTTAGAGAGTGAACCAGCAGATGGAAGATCTCAATCTCTATCTCTCAGCTTCTCTGCCTTTCAAATAGATGGAACTAAATAAACATTTTGACAATACCAAACCCACTCCTACAAAACCGACAACAGACTGTTGTGAGGTAGTGGCCCACGTCCCTGCTCCCCAGGGGGCTGTCCAACTAACAGAGCACTGCTTAGTAAGACTGTCTTTTCCTTGGACAGACATCTTCGTCACACCCAGAGGCCCACCTACCCTGCTCAACTGATGCCTTTGTGCTTATGCCAACACCACACTTTTAAAACCACTGCAGCTTTATAATGATTTTTTTTAAATAATGAGTTTTCATGTCCAGTAAAATCCTCCTCTCACAATCTTCTTTTCCAATACATCCTGGATGTTACAGGACATCTTTATTATATTTTAATCTATGAAAGACAGTAATGGAAAATTTTATTTATGTGAAAGACAGAGTTACAGAGAGATGGAAGCAGAGAGAGAGAGGTCTTCCATTATGCTGGTCCACTCCCCAAATGACTGCAATGGCCAGAGCTGAGCTGATCTGAAGCTAGGAGCCAGGAGCTTCTTCCAGGTCTCTCACAAAGAGTTTGGCCATTTTCTACTGCTTTCCCATGCCATAGCAGAGAACTGGATTAGAAGAGGAGCAGCCAGGACTCGAACTGGTGCCCATATGGGATGCTGGGGCTTTAACTCACTGTGCCACAGTGCTGGCCCCTAGTTAGGTCTTCTTTTATTTCTCTCAAAAATGTTTCATAGTGGGGCCGGCACCGTGGCTCACTTGGTTAATCCTCCGCCTGTGGTGCCGGCATCCCATATGGGCGCCAGTTAGTTCTACTGGTTGCTCCTCTTCCAGTCCAGCTCTCTACTGTGGCCTGGGAAGGCAGTGGAAGATGGCCCAAGTGCTTGGGCACCTGCACCTATGTACGAGACCCGGAAGAAGCACCTGGCTCCTGGCTTTGGGTCAGCATAGCTCCGTCCATAGCAGCCATTTGGGGGGTGAACCAATGGAAGGAAAACCTTTCTCTGTCTCTCTCTCTTTCACTGTCTAACTCTGTCAAATAAATTTAAAAAAAAAATGTTTCATAGTCTTCCATGTAGATTGTATACCTTTTCTTGTATGTATTCCTAGGTGTTTGGTATTTTTGATGCTATTGTAAATGACAGTTCTTTTAGACTGCCAATTTCTGTTTACTGCTGGTAAGTATGCAATGTCTTGTATCCACTTATTTTACTAACCTTCATTTCTAGTAATTTCTCTATAGATTTTCTGAGATTTCCAATGTCCACTATTTATATGAATTACTACTGACACAAAATCAGTTTTTATTGATTATCTAGTCCAACACTGTCACTTAGCAAGCGAGGAAATTGCAGTCCAAAGGGAATCCGAGCTTCGACAAAGACCAATGGGAACCTGGAAGCAGAGCAGTACTAGAACCAAGCACTCTGGTCAAGTTCTCTCTCTTTCTCTTGTATCACTTTTACAGAGAGTTGGTCAATTTTTGAAGGTGGCAGACATATAAAACAAAACCACCAATTTCTATGATTCATCATTACTATTAAACTTAACTATGCATAAAACAGAACCTTCAGGAAGTGCTTTCTAAATCAAACCCTTGGCAAATAAATAAATAAGCCCTTATTAAAGTTTTGTAGGAAACCAGGAAGGCAATAAACTTGGTGGGGGGTTCCCTGGAGCTTTTGTAACCACAGATTAATAAGACATCTGCAGAACTCAAATAGCTGAGTCTCAGGACTGCATGACTACAAGACACACACACTGTGACTGACATCACATCAAGGTGAGCCTAGATATATGCCAACTCACAAGACGTGCTGAAGCGTTTCGGCGTGTGCCAGTTCCCCATCTGGTGACAACCTGATGAGCCTGCCCGTTCTAGAAACAGGCCACAGCTGGCACCAGGTCTGTCTGTGCCATGACAAGTGCACGCACATGTCAGTAAACATACCGAGAGGAACCCTAGTGTTTAAGACTTAATGCAAATGTGTTCACTTCAACAGAGGAACGCTGGTTTCAAAGATGGTTAGCAAGTCAACCTGTCTGAAAGTCTAACAGGGTATGTGATTTTTTTTTATTTGATTAAAGACAAGAATAGCTTCAAAACATTTTTTCAAGGATTCTAATACATTTAATATCTGCTGCTGCTTCAGAGCTAAAGCATGCCCTTATTCCCTAGAGTGTTTCCTAAAAATATGCAGATTTTGCTATGAGGCAAATGACAGAGAAAACATCTTCAGAGAATAAAATGGTACAATAAAACGTACAGTGAAGGCTACTCAGCCAGAAAACTATTTCCAAAGCAGACAGTGAGGTTTCAAGCAGCCATTTTCCTCTTGATCTTGAAGAACAGACGACTGCTGGCAGAAAGACTGCCCACAGGCAGGCAGAGGCCAGCGCTCTCTCCAGAGGTCAAGGGGGGTCAGAAGAAACCACTCACTCACCGCCCCCCAACACTCATGCTAACGCCCTGCAGGGCTCAGGTTCTCTCCCTCTCTACACTGCCCACCTGTCACATGCTCCACCCTTGCCCACCCTGCGCCAGCCATCCTCAGCCTGCACGAAGTCCCACAGGAGCGGTCCTTTCTCAGACCGTGAATGACTTCCTGTGGGTGGGGTTTAGGTTTCTGTCCCGTCATTCTCTTTGGAGGAAGTAAGGAGTCCTCACCCAGCATGGTGTTAGCACCGTGTCCACACCTACTCGCTGTGAACGTGACATCTCTCGGTCTCTAAGACCCTAACGAAGGTCTCACCTTCTCATCCCGGAAGTTAAGGAACTGCTGGAAGACCTCGCTTTCGGAGACCACCGGATGGCGGCACATCCTGGTCATCCATGCCTGCAGCCTCTCCATGCGCATTTTGATAAATTCCTCTTCAAAGCGACCTGCAAGAGATGCACGAGGAGTGACACACAGCTCTGAACACATCAGTTACTGTCACGGCTGCGGCACCGTCTGCACGGCACTGGCTGTCTGGCAGAAGGCTGTCCAGCAACAGGTGGGCCGTAGTGACTTCCACTAACCTGAAAACAACAAGGCAAGTGCTCGAAGACCCACAGGAACGACGTGAGAGCCCTTAGCGTTTTTAAGAATGGGCTTCCAGTTTACACATTAACAAATCTTTTATGACAAGAAGAAAACCGTAAGAGTGCCTGTTATCTCAATATGAGAAACTACACTTCTTATAGACCAACCTTAGGCCAGTTCCTATGTGGCCACGTAAAGCCCTCAGGCAAGAAGGGACGATATGGAATTTAGTAAGTCATTGCCACAAAGTGCATGCGACACAAACGTCTACAAACACAGATACTTCCTGCTCATGAAAACTCACACAGGGCTTTCTTCTCCATTTTGTTTTTAAAAATTACTTAAATCGAAAATAGCAAAGACAATCTCCCATGAATGCAATACTGAGAGCTACTACCCTGGAATCTATCGCAGCACTACAGCAGGGCTTAATGAGTGTTTCTGTTTTAAAAGTGGAAGGTCGGTTTGACAAGCATCATATACCACATGTCAAGTGAACACCAATGCCTGTAAGCCTGGTAAACAAAAATTACTACCAGCGGAAGGCCTCTGCAGTAGAAATTCCAGCCATGGCCAGGTGAGCAGATCTGCAAATCCTAGCTCCAAAAAGCAACTGGTACAGCTGCACCACACTGACAAGAACGACCAACTCAGCGCTCTGGAAATCAACCAAAGCAAAAGCCATCTGGAAAGGTGGGCGCTTGAAACACCGCGGAACTTCAGGCAAGAACGGGGGACTGGTGGCAGCCAGGGGTGCTGCCATCTTCCCCTCTGGGCAACACGGCGGTCCTGCCCGGGCGGAGCCGGCCTCAGGACTGGCAGCTGCGGCTTCCCTGGGGCAGGAGCAGCCTCGCTTGATTCAGAGCAGCAGAGAGGCCCCTGCCCAGTGGGGGTGCTGTGGCAGGGGTGGGTGAGCAGGGAGGGCAGGGGCCCCCTAGCCCAGGCTGCAGGGCAGAGCCATGCATGTTCCAGGTGGAGGCACAACCAGCAGATGAAGTCCAAGACAGCCACGCGTTCCCAGCCAACTGGGAAGCTACGCATGCTGCAACGCAGATGCAAAGGACCCGGCGGAACGTAAAAGCCGAGGCTAACTCGAGAGTGGCCCCAGCTCTGAGTGCATTCCCCTACCTACAGTTAACCAACAGAGCCTGAGACACTGAGCACACCTGTGTGCCATCGTCATGCTCACCACCACCCCACACAGACGCACCACCAAACCCTGGAAGCCAAACTTAAAACAATTTTAAAATAAACAAAAGCACCCGAGCTGCAAGGGAGGCAGACTTCAGAGATCGAGCCTAGGCTAGTTCCTTGACAAGCAATCAAAAAGCAGAAAAAACAACAACAATCACGGAGGAAAAACAAGAACCCAGAGCTGCTAAAACGTTCTCAGAAATGGCTTCAACAAAAACTGAGTCCTATGCCAAGAACAGCAAGACACGCGCCACACTGAGGAAAAAAGTAGTCAGCAAAAACTGTCTCCAAGTGTCCCCAGATGTTGAATGTAGTAGGGGAGAGCAAAGCCGCAGGCAAGGCAGCTTCTTCCATACGTCCTGAGGACGACAGGAGACTGCGTTTAAAAATTAAGGAAAATACGACAAGAATGCCACAGAGATGCTCAAGGAGAAGACTGGCGTTACTGTATTTGTTAAAAAGAAACATTTGGGAATTCTGGAGTCTAAAGTTCAATAACAGACTCTGCATCAGGTTCAAGATGGCAGAAGACAGAATAGTGAGTTTGCAGATAGATCAGTAACAGTTAACTAATATGAAGAATATAGAGAAAACAGTAACGCAAAATGAACAAGCCTGGGCCCCTGCCACCCATGTGGTAGACCAGGACAGAGTTCCAGGCTCCTGGCTTCGACCTGGCCCAGCCATTTAGGGAATGAACCAACAGGTGGATCTCTCAGTCTCTCCCTCTCCCCCTCCCAACTCTCCCTCTCCCTCTCTCCCTCTCCCCTCTCTGTTGTTCTGCCTTTCAAAGAAATAAATCTGAAAAAAGAAAGAAAGAAAGAAAGAAAGAAAGAAAGAAAGAACGAAAGAAAGAACGAACGAAAGAACGAACGAAAGAACGAACGAACGAACGAACGAACGAACAAGCTTAAGAAAGCACTTATTTGGTAACACTCATAATGGGGTTCCCGGAGGAAGAAGAGAAAAAGTAGGAAAAACTTGGAAGAGATAGTGATTAAAAACTTCCCAGGCCATAGCAGAGAGCTGGATAGGAAGTGGAGCAGCCGGGACTAGAACCAGCACCCACATGGGATGCCAGCACCACAGGTTGAGGCTCAGCCCACTATGCCACAGCGCTGGCCCCTCAAATACATTTTTAAAAATTGTAAAAAATACATTTGCCAAATTTTTTTTACCAGTTTTATTCATGAATGCCAAAACCTGGAAACCTAAATGTCCTTCAATGAGTGAGTGACAAACCACGGTACATCCATACAGTGGAATATTATTCAGCACTAAAAAGAAATACACTACTGATACAACCAGATGGGTAGATCTCAAATGCATTACACTAGGGGAAGAGGCCAGGCTCTGTCCACAGACTACAAACTCCATTCTATTGACGATGCTATTCTGGAGAGGCAAAATCAGAGGGACAAGGGACAGACCAGCTGCTGTGTGGCCACGGGCAGGACTGGGGGCACAGAGAGCTGAAAGTAAACGGGGATCACTCTGTACCATGGATGCAGTGGTGGGTACAAGACTGCAGTGGTGTTGTCAAAACTCATGGAACTACACTCCAAAAACAACAAGCTCACTGCAGCCTTGCTTTCCTTTAGAAAACTCTGAGTACAAATTAGCTGAAGTCTTTTAACAAGAGTATCACGGGCCCTTGTATCACAAGGGCGTTCGCTGGGGTGGGCACTTCGCATAGTGGTTAAGATGCCACCTGAGATGCCGGCATCCCAAACCAGAGTGCCTGGGTTCAAGTCCTGGCTCTGCTCCCGATCCAGGTTCCTGCTAATGTGCACCCGAGGAGGCAGCAGGAAATGATCAAGGTGTGGGTCACTGCCACCCACATGGGAGACACAAACTGAGTTCCAGGCTCCTGGCACTGGCCTAGCCCCAGCTGTGGTCATTTGGAGAATGAACCCATAGACGGGAAGATCTCCTTTCAAATAAAATAAGTAAAAATATTTTTTAAAAAACATATTATCTAGAGAGTGGCAGTTGACCAGCCCATGGACCCAACCATGTCTAATAAAGAAGGCGTTTCCAGTGCTGTGTGTGCTAGGAGGAGAGAGTAAGCGTTTTGTAACTACTCCAGTGCTGGGTGTGCTAGGAGGAGAGAGTAAGCGCTGTGTAAACTACTCCAGTGCTGGGTGTGCTAGGAGGAGAGAGTAAGCGCTGTGTGACTACTCCAGTGCTGGGTGTGCTAGGAGGAGAGAGTAAGCGCTGTGTAAACTACTCCAGTGCTGGGTGTGCTAGGAGGAGAGAGTAAGTGCTGAGTAAACTACTCCAGTGCTGCGTGCTAGGAGGAGAGAGTAAGCGTTGTGTAACTACTCCAGTGCTGGGTGTGCTAGGAGGAGAGAGTAAGTGCTGTGTAACTACTCCAGTGCTGGGTGTGCTAGGAGGAGAGAGTAAGCGCTGAGTAAACTGAAGTGAAGCAGAAACTCCGTCCCATCCGTGGATGAATGACCACGCATCTCCCGGATGAATTAAAATCACAGTAAGGCCAGGGAATCAGACCACGAGTCCGTTACCTAACCACCAGTCCGAATTCAATGATTCTTATTTCACTAACATTCATTCACATGGGAAGTCTTCTGAAAGCTACTGCATCTCCACATGACGACTTCAGATGTGAGCTTATGCTGGGTAAAATTCCACACCGGCTCCAGAAAACTATGAAATGGGGGACGAGGGACTCTCATGCCTGGTTTACCACAACCCTTACTGGAGTCTTCACTACGCATGTGAATATATCAGGTTGGCACCCAGGAATAGGCCCAGACTCAGTCAATGTCTTTTGGCAAAGAACAAATCTATAAACAAATATAAAACGCTAACTAAATTTCCCAGGTGATGGAGCCCACAGAAATGTCGTGACGTCACCCACTTGGCATTCCTGCTTCTCTCCGCCCGCAGCGGAGGGAGAAGGGAGCTTTAGATAATGATGACCTTGTGGTCTCACACACAGGAGGCAAACCGCGGGGAGGGGAAGAACGCCGCTTCTGTGCCCTTCCGTCTCCTGGGCACACATCCCAGGAGGGAAGCCAAGCTCAGCTTTCCTCGGACCAAGGACGGGGCTGTCACTTTCCTGCTTTTCCAGGACACCCCCCTGGCCACACGCCCATTTTTTCTTGACAAAAACAAACCTTCATATGGAAAGAGAACTGTGACTCCATGATGCTTTAAAACAGCATCCAATAATTCAGAATAAACGATGCATGAAAGCCTAGGAGAAATGAGCAACTCCTGAAATAGCCCATTAACCCATCATGTAATCACTAGGGAGCATATATTATGCTAATGAAGTTGAAGGATGACGGAAAAACCAAGTAAACACACACATTTCAAGATACGGAGAAAAGTCAATCTGAGATCTTCATGGAAGGGAATCTAACATTTTTAAGAGATCCGAGTTAAAGCAAAAGGATGACAAAAAGGACAACAGTGAGCGTCTGAACTTGGCACAGAATGGAGGGCACTGAGAACCCCGGAGTGGAAGGAAGCGGTTCCGAGCCAGCCTGGCTGTCAGTCACCTGTTCTGGCCACACGAGGGACCACTCAGTGTCCTCCACGGGACTGCTGGGTCTGTACTGCACCCTACACTTTCCTCTGCTGTGACAGTTTGAAATTTCTGAAATGTTTTCCAAAAAAATCACCAAGTAACTTCTGCAAAAACAAGCTTCTATCTTACCAGAAATCTTCAGGGGAAGTCAGTATATAAGAACGTGAGGTGCAAAGTCACGCTTAAAGGGGAATAACACACTTATCCTGCGTCTCCTCTCTGGATTTGTTTCCTCACCTGCTCACTGAAGATGAGGGTGCCTGTGTGGTCAGCTGAGTGAGCAGGTAGGCCCAGGGCCTGTGGGGACAAACTGCAGCCCAATGCGGCAGTGTCTCCTTCCAGCTGGTTGGTATTCTCAGTCCTTTAACTATACACCCACATTGCCAGGTGCGGATTAAACCTCTGGTCTCCCCTGACCTTGGGACAGTCCGTGCCAACCCCTCCACATACAGCCAGTCTCTGATGTCTCTTTTAGTGCTCTGCCCCGCCTCCTGGCTCTGCTACAGCCTTGCTGTCAGCCCTGAGCCACTCCCTCTGTAGTTACTAGTGTCACTCACCCCAACGCTTTCTAGCTACAGACTGAAACTCCTGATCCTCAGCAAACTCGGCTGCTTACAAACATTTACTCTGAGACAAGGGCACTGACTCCAGGTTCTATTCTGAGACACACAGAGTACTGATGCTCCAGGTTCTGCTCTGAGACACACAGAGTACTGATGCTCCAGGTTATACTGTGAGACACACAGAGTACTGATGCTCCAGGTTGTACTATGAGACACACATGGCACTGATGCTCCAGGTTGTAATGTGAGACACACAGAGTACTGACACTCCAGGTTCTGCTCTGAGACACACAGGGCACTGACGCTCCAGGTTCTACTCTGAGTCACACAGAGTACTGATGCTCCAGGTTCTACTCTGAGACACAAAGAATACTGATGCTCCAGGTTCTATTCTGAGAAACACAGAGTACTGATGCTCTAGATCATGTACTGAGTCACACGAGCACTGAAGCTCCGGATTCTGTTCTGAGACACACAGAGTACTGATGCTCCAGGTTGTACTATGAGACACACAGGGCACTGACGCTCCAGGTTGTACTGTGAGACACACAGGGCACTGACACTCCAGGTTCTGTTCTGAGACACACAGAGTACTGACGCTCCAGGTTCTGCTCTGAGACACACAGGGCACTGACGCTCCAGGTTCTGCTCTGAGACACACAGAGTACTGATGCTCCAGGTTCTGTTCTGAGACACACAGAGTACTGATGCTCCAGGTTGTACTATGAGACACACAGGGCACTGACACTCCAGGTTCTGCTCTGAGACACACAGGGCACTGATGCTCCAGGTTCTGCTCTGAGATACACAGAGCACTGATGCTCCAGGTTCTGCTCTGAGACACACAGAGTACTGATGCTCCAGGTTGTACTATGAGACACACAGGGCACTGATGCTCCAGGTTGTACTGTGAGACACACAGAGTACTGACGCTCCAGGTTCTGCTCTGAGACACACAGAGTACTGATGCTCCAGGTTCTGCTCTGAGACACACAGAGTACTGATGCTCCAGGTTCTGCTCTGAGACACACAGGGCACTGACGCTCCAGGTTCTACTCTGAGTCACACAGAGTACTGATGCTCCAGGTTCTACTCTGAGACACAAAGAATACTGATGCTCCAGGTTCTATTCTGAGAAACACAGAGTACTGACGCTCTAGATCATGTACTGAGTCACACGAGCACTGATGCTCCAGGTTCTATTCTGAGACACAGAGTACTGATGCTCCAGGTTCTGTTCTGAGACACACAGAGTACTGATGCTCCAGGTTCTACTCTGAGTCACACAGGGCACTGATGCTCCAGGTTCTATTCTGAGACACCCAGAGCATTGATGCTCCAGGTTCTGTTCTGAGACACACAGAGTACTGATGCTCCATGTTCTGTTCTGAGACACACAGAGTACTGATGTTCCAGGTTCTGCTCTGAGACACACAGGGCACTGACGCTCCAGGTTCTGCTCTGAGACACACAGGGCACTGACGCTCCAGGTTCTGCTCTGAGATACACAGAGTACTGATGCTCCAGGTTCTGTTCTGAGACACACAGAGTACTGATGTTCCAGGTTGTACTGTGAGTCACACAGAGCACTGACGCTCCAGGTTCTGCTCTGAGACACACATGGCACTGACACTCCAGGTTCTGCTCTGAGTCACACAGAGTACTGATGCTCCAGGTTGTACTGTGAGTCACACAGAGCACTGACGCTCCAGGTTCTGCTCTGAGACACACAGAGTACTGATGCTCCAGGTTCTGCTCTGAGACACACTGTATTGATAGCCTAGGTTCCAAATTAGCTGGAAGTGAAAGCACAACAGTGACTGTTCCCTGACCCAGCAGCAAATCCTTTCCTACTGTGCACTTCCAAGGCACTCTCACAGCACTGGGACTGCTGACCAGCAGACAGGTAAGGAAGATGGTACTAAGTGGTGGTAGTGTGGCACTTCAAATAACAAGAAAACGGGCAGGATAGTAAGCAGGGATAATTATTCAGTAGAACACCTGGCACCTTCCTTCATCAACACTGAGAAGTTCTGTTGCTTTTCCACGCAATGTTTACCAACTAAGAATGAAAACGGCAGCGGAGCTCTGTGTAACCTGTTTGCTTCATTTGGGTCAAACATTTTACTTCCCTTTTAGACTATCTGGATCATTTGTGTTTTCTCAGCTGTCATTTTTCACTTTGAAAAGAGGGACTTCTTTCTCTTGTAGGAAAATAAAAATGATTTCGCTAGAATTCAAGATACATATACATGCTCTCTGACAGCAGATTTTATTAAACATCCTTGAACTTCCAGACCTACGTGGAACCTGCTGTGGCTCTCTGTTCATCACCACATCTAACTTCTGTTCCACACTGCTGCATTTTCTGCTCTGCAGGATGGAAAATGCCATTATTGACTTGAAGGGGAGAATCTGTCTTCGTACCTGGCACCATGAGTTCAGTGTTAAGCACACTCACCTGTGACTTGTTTATCTGGAAGAGAAGGTATTGGAATGGCAGATCCAAACTTCACCAGGAGACGTTCATACAACCAGTCAAAGTGCTTATACCTGTGGTTTACAGATCTGTTAGTGTTCTACAAAATAAGGAAAAGAGAAGAAAAAGTTACCAGTGCCAACTAAAGAAAACACGCTGTCACCAATAAGGCAGGCGTAACTGTTCTGGATGATGGTACTTACCGTGGGTGTTAACTGGTACTCGATGTAGCTCTTCAGACCATACATTTTGGAGCCTTTCCTGGGATCCGCTACCACACAGTCGAATGTAGAGGTAGGATAAACCCACATCGGGCCATAATCTCCAACCTACACAAAAGTCCAGCAGAAGTGAATTTCAGAACCCTTGGGGAGGTCATTCTCGCTGCTTTCTGAGAAGCTACCTAAGTGGACTCTACTCCTGTGAGATGTGTTTAAAGAACTCCCGTGTCAGGACAGAGCCTTCTGCCCCCCACCAGGGGCGCTCAGTCCATGCACAGAAGAGACCAGCTCCCCGCCTTGAGTGCTGGTTGATTGGAACACAATGTCTGTCTCTCTAGTCCAGGTGTCTCGAACTGTATGTGATAAAAGACTCCTTTTTAAAAGTCCAATTATAGACCAACGGTTTTGTGAAGTGTAACATTACACATGTGGGTTTCTCAATAATTTCAAGTTGCCATCAAGCCTTCTAGGACACTCCCACTGCACTGATCTCATGGCAGACTGGTAAACTTTGAGTAGCTGTGCCCTAAATACAGAAATGGCTTATCAGACTGGTGAGAGCCTGTGTCCACTGCTTTACTACGGAGGGCAGTGGTATATGTGCCTCACAGCAAGAATCAGGCCAGCTAGCTGTTTTCTCCTTGGCCTGCTTGTGCACAGCACAGTGGGCAGGCTCACACTCCATGTCCCAGGCATCACGCCCACTTGGTAGGCCTCTCTTGTTCTTCACTTGTCTTTCTTGTCTATATACAACTGGGGCCAAGGTTGAAAAGTGAGGCTTATTAGGCCAGCACTAGACCATTTAAGTAATTTTAGCAGGGTGTGGAGAGGATGAGGCATGAAAACCAACTAAAATCTATGTGGGGACACAGAGAACTAGCATGATCACAGTTATGGATTTCAGAGACTGTAGGACAGTATCATTAAAGAACAAATAAAAAGGGGCCGGCGCTGCAGCCCAGCAGGGTAAAGCCCTGACCTGAAGCACTGGCATCCCATATGAGTGCCAATTCTAGGCCTGGCTGTTCCTCTTCCAATCCAGCTCTCTGCTATGGTCTGGGAAAGCAGGAGAAGATGGCCCAAGTCCTTGGGCCCCTGTACCCGCCTGGGAGACCCAAAAAAGGGCCCTGGCTCCTGGCTTCAGATCAGCTCAGCTCTAGCTGTTGTAGCCAATTGGGGAGTGAATCAGTGGATAGAAGGCCTCTCTCTCTCTCTGCCTCTTCTCCCTCTGTGTAACTCTTTCAAATAAATAAATAAATAAATCTTTAAAAAAAGAACAAATAAAAAGCAACAGAATTCCTTATTCTATTGAAAATATGGTATTTTCCAGGAAACAGGTGAGAAAAGCAACAAAGTGACTGTAAACAGACCATTATTTCTAGCAAATATACCCATTCAGAGTTCTAAAAAGGGTCAAAAATAGTTCATGAAACAGATTTTGATCTTGTAGCTGGAAGAAGCACAGAATAAAGTACATAGAAAACCGCATGGACTGGGCTAAAGGAGACAACCAGGCAGGTGTGAAAGGGAGACGTCTCCCAGTCCTTATTCTTGGTAAAGGTGCGAGAGGCCAACAACAGGACAGGGACGGAAGTCAGCGAGCCCCGCAGCAGGTTTTATTAACCCTTCCCCAAAGTCCAGATCTCCGCACAATCAGCTCTGAAGGATGAAGTGCCACCCTGACCTACAGGAGGGTGAGCTGTCTTTGCACCTGTCACCCTGAGGCTATCAGGTCAGGAGGCGACTGAGCACCAGAGAAGCTGAATGAGGAGTTAAAGAGAAGATTCTAAAAGCAAACCATGAAGCCCACATCCAGGAAGCTGTCTTAAAGCTGCAGAGCAGGAATTAAAGAGACCTTGGGGGACCTCCCTCCGTGACTGGGGATCAAAAAGCAGCCTTGACTGGCCCATGGGCCAAATTCCACTAGAGAGAGGGTTACCACACCTTCCCAGCAAAGAACCAGGCCAACGCTTTCTCTTGGCTCCCTGGACTCTCTCTGCTAGAATTCTGTTTCGGAATATACAGCTAGAGATCATCGAGATAGAAAATCTATCAGCAATCAAAACATGCAGTGAACCAAAGTGCCTACGTCATAGTATGAAACAATGTCATGTTACATAACAGTCCAGGTATTCTAAGATTTTTTAAAAAATCTATTTGAGAGGCAGAAAAAGAGATTCTCTGTCTACCAGTTCACTCCCCAAATAACCGCAACAGCTATGGGTACACTGAGGTTGAAGCTGGGAGCTGGGAACGCAATCAAGGTCTCGCACATGGGTGGAACCATGACTTGCTGCCTCTCAAGCTCTGCATCAGCAGTTGGCTGGAGTCAGGAGCCAGAGCCAGGAATCAAACCCAGGTACTGTGATGGGGGATGTGAGCGACTTAGCCATTTCGCCAAATGCCCAGTCACCTAAGCTAAGTGCCATTAACTCCTACATTTGCTAGCTCCTTATTGTCATTTGGCTGCTTGTTCACTAGAAGAAACACTAAGTATTTCCAACATATTGGAAAAGGCACCTAATTCTGATAACATGCATGTATTTTTGCAAGGGTAGAAATCCAAATATTTAAATTAAGTTTATTAGATAAATATATAGACTGATAGAAAAACAACATAAAAAATTTCAAGATACTTTCAAAAATAAAAATTACTAATAGAATATTATGAGTGTTGTCGGTTCAATACTTTTAATTCAAGAGATAAAGAATATCTAAACAAGATAATGATAGGCATTAATTTATGCTAATTATCTTTAGTATGCCTAAAATACTAACATATACTATCAGTTATTTGGGGACATTTAATGTGTTTAAAAATACTTTCCAAGAGAGTAATAACCCTCTTAGCTTTACGGTTTTAATAAAGAACTTTAATTACAAAGCAAGCAAACAAAAATGAACAAACTTACAATGATGGGAATTTTTTCTTTGGGCTTTGCTAGTTGCTTGGCCAACAAATATTGTTCCATTCCAGGTTTTGCAAATCCAGGAAATCTAATCATGAAGATAAATGCTTGTGAGTCCTTCCTCGTAAGACTCCTACAGCTCTCACCCACAGTTACTGAACAAGCCACTTTTAACCGTGTTTTTTCTTTCAGGTGTACCAGATCTAGGAAACCATGGTAAACAATACCTGATGTAATCAGACGGCTCAAGAGCCAGTCAGTAATTTAATTAGGCATGGTCAGTTGCAAAGGGCAGTTTGACTCCGGAAGGTGCGATATTTATGGGTTCTCAGTGAACTCACCCAACTCAGAGAGAAGGGAGCAGCACCCTTTCCTTGAGAGTCTCTGAATTCACAGGGGCAGTGAGTACTCATCAAACCAACTGGAGTGGCCACATGGGGCGATGGCCACGCATCAGCATTTGTACAAACTAAGGCCGCCTCTCGCCACACTCTGGAAGGCACAATTACCCCAGAGAAGCGGCCACTGTTCGCAAGCATCCCTGCCATTTTCTTTTGGAAGTGCCTTCAGAAACTACTCCGTAGTGAAAAGACCCAAAGCACAGTAAGTAAATCTGACTAGTTCGAGATGCCATCTGATAAGACCCCAAAACATAATAAATAATAAATGTCCATCTCACTCTTTCCTCACGCTTCCTTGTTAAGCAGATTTGCAAGGACTACTGAATAAACATTTTAATTGAAGAGAATCTAAGTGGAAACAAAGAGCTGAGCTAAGAGCTGTGCTCTGGAGCCGAGGAGCTGGGATCCCGACAGGAGCACGGCCTGCTGCGTGAGCGCAGGGCTCTCCAGCCGCGCTGGGTTTCTGTGTCCCGCAGCGAAACCGCGAGTCTACAACAGAGGGCGTGTGGGGACACAGGCAGACAACCACTCTGTACGACCCCTCACATGGAAGTGACTGTTACAACATAAAACGCTGTTAAAGAGTTGTTATTTTTAGTTTCGCTTAGCTTTCTATATATGCTTATGTTTCCCACTACTATCAGAAATGAAACTTCCTATTGACATGGAGTTGATAAAATAAAAAATACAAGTGGCAGATTATTAAATAAAATAATTATTTCAGTTATTAACCTTGTAAACTAAGACTAAGTCGTGCCCCAGAGAGAGAGAGACCGCCGCAGAGGAAGAGCCGGCCCTGGGCCCGCCAGGCCCCGCACACGCTTACTTGTTGAGGGGCAGCTTCATGGAAGAGGCACTGGCACGACTGTTTCCTCGCTGGACGCCCCCTGCTTCCGAGGATTCCGAATCCTTAAAGTAAGGGGAAGAGGACTTGGGGTCATCCCAGTCTTCGTCCCAGTCATCATCGTCACCAGTTGCTAGAGGTGGGAACAGAAGTGATCATCATTAAAGAAAAACAAAATGAGAAAAATAAAATGATGGCATTTTCCGAGAGCAGCTCCTGTCTGGGCTGAGGGACCTGCGTTGTGGTGCGGTGGCCTAAGCTACAGCTTGCAACAGATGCCAGCATCTCGGGTCGGATTTGAGTCCTGGCTACTCTGCTGCTGATCCAGCTTCCTGATTCTGTGCCTAGGCAGGCAGTGGATGATGGCCCAAGCACGTGGGCCCCTGCCACCCATGTGGGAATCCAGAATGGAGTTACTGGCTCCTGTTTTCAGCCTGGCCCAGATCTGGCTACTGAGGTCATTTGGGAAGTGAACCAGTGAATGGAAGATTTCTAACTCTGACTTTCAAAAAAATAAACAGATCTTTAAAATACATATTTTTATTTGAAAAGCAGAGAGACAGATCTTCCATCCACTAGTTCACTCCCCAAATGCCTGCAAGAGTCAGGCTGAAACCCAGAGCCAGGAACTCAGGCTGATTCTCTCAGGTGGGTAAGAGCCAGGGACCCGAGCGCCTGAGCCGCCACCTGCTGCCTCTGGGGGTGAACATTAGCAGGAGGCTGGAACGGGAGGCGGAGCCAGGACTTGAATCCAGGCGCTGATTCAGGATGCTGATGTCCAAGCAGCATCTCAACCATCGTGCGAAATACACCCCGTCCTGATATGACTTTCTGAACTGGTTCTCCTTCTGTAAATTTCTGTTCTGTTTGAGGCTTTCTATTAATAGTCTAGGAGTCAAACAGGTCATTTAGGGAAAGATAAAATGGCTAACACAGAGGCCGCAAACCAGCAGGTGATAGACCATATTGCATTAGCTTTCAGCTGAAGGTTTTTGAAAAGCAGTGAGCCAAATCTCTTTTTGAGAGGGAGGAGCCAGGAACTGTATCATGGTCCCCCCAGGGGTGACAGGGATCACCTGGTACCCCCCAGAGTGTGCACTAGCAGAGCTGAATCAGGAGCAGAGCTGAGACTTGAATCCAGGCACTCCAGTCGGGACGCAGGCATCCCAACCTGCGTATTAATTGCTAGCATAAACGCTAACATCTGGTCAAGATTTTGAAACAAATGTGTTAGTTGCTGAGATGTTACAGCAACCGAGATTTCCAGTCTTGGTGATGAGAGCGTTCACTCAGCTTTCTCCCAAACGCCGCGATCTGTGAGCGGGAGGCTGCGCCGACAGGAGGCACTCTCCAGTCTGCTGCAGCCTTGTCTTGCTCTTTCACTTTATGGCTCAATTTGTGACTCCTTGACAGATAACGTGAGATGGAACTAAAGACTGTCACTAGTGACTATCATCGTCTGGATCCAGAAAATCACTACATTTGGATCCTGGTTTGCTGTCAGTGAAAAAGAGCACTTCTGAGCAGTTCTTTAAAATAAAATCTATTTTTAACTCCAATGACCTGGTAAGATACTGTGATATAACAAGAACTAGATATTCCGGCTCTGCACCCGGTTCCTGGCAGAGCTCCTAAATCTCCCGTCATCTGCTGAGCCACAGGGGTGGTAGGTGTACTTCTTTTGTTCTAAGGAGGTGGCTCTTGGTGGGCTTCTACACAGGGGCTGCTCGTGCCATGATTAGAAGCTGGGAACTTTCAGCCCCAGCCGCATGCTCCAGGATGAGAAGAGGGACTAGAGAATCAACTAGTAACTGGTCATGCCTGTGTCATGGCTCCAGAAAAATCCCACAACTGCAGGAAGCCCCGTGCCCCTCCCAGACACCTCACTCCATGCACATCTTTACCTAACGTGCATCTGTATCCTGTGCAGGGCCCTTCATCATACACAGGTAAACCCTGCAAAGTGTCTCCCTGAGCTGTGAGCCACTCCAGCAAACTGATGGAAGCTGAGAAGCCCTGGGATCTAACTGTGAAACCCAGCCCTAACACAAGGCCTTTGCTGTGGGATTCTCAGGCCCAGGGCTCTCAGGTTCCCTCCCTTAAAGTTCTTTGTCCTGCTTCCAAGATGGCAAATCAACCCACTGGATTGGGGGAGGTGCATTAGGTCCAGCCAGCCAGACGGGGTCCCATATCACAAGGATCAAGAGGTCATTCATCGCCTCTACAGATAACTTGATATCAGACTGTCTCGAGGTTATTGTTTCTGTTTTTTTGTTTTGTTTTGTTTTGTTTTAAATAGAACAGGCTCTGAGCAAAAAGTAACACCCACCTGCACATAACCCCCAGCTGCCCATAAGCAAAATGCCCAAAAGAACCCTCTGGCTGCTGTCCTACCCCTGACCACCAGAGGAGGGCCACAAGCACTGCAGACCAATCAGAGACCTGCGCACAGCTGGACACGTATCCCCTGAGCCTAGCTTCTGTCTACTAAAGATTCCTGACCCTAGCCCCTCAAAGAGCCAGAGAATCAGGACTCGGTTGCCTGTGCCTCTTGTTCCAGGCTTTGCCAGCAGTAAATGCTGACTTGCTTCCACCGCACTGGGTTAGCGATGGGCTGGCTGCACGGATTCTGCAACAACTCCAGGCAAGTGGCATCAGGACTGAGTCATACTGTGGCTGTGCCCTGGAGAAGTGCACGGTGTGTGGGGTGTGATCACAGAGGTCCTCCGGTTGCACTGTGTATGGAAGGAGTGGAGACAGTTTGGCTTTTCTGTCTCCCATGCCATTTCCTATCAGTCACTATGGCAGGAGCCCCTTCCTTACCTGGTCCTTGGTAGGCCTGGGGGTGGCCAAAGGCAGCGTCCCAGTTGTTGGCAGAATTTCTCTGGGCACCCGCCCCCTCTGGCTTGGCCCCCCAGCCATCTGAGCTCTCCCAGTTCCCAGATTTGGAGGCACCCCAGGATGACCAGGGGTCACTGCCACCGCTGACCTATTGTGGGAGGAAAAGGAGAAAGGATATTTGTGAATTCTCAAAACTATGACTCGATTCAGTAATGAACAACATGACAACTGAATAAAAGGAGTGCTAAAAAATCCAAAGAAATTTATCAAAAACAATGTTAAGTAATTTTCCCCTAAATTTGTAGAACAGCACAAAATGTGGCATCATCCTAACTTTACTATTTTGCCCCATCTGCTTGGGAATTTTGCAAAAGGCAGCAAAGAGTATCAGACCCAGCTCCTCCCCCTTCCCCTTCCTCCCCAGAAGTGTATCCATTCCCACGCCTTTTTATGCCTCCATGCAAATATACACATCCACAAATCCCAACTGCTGCATGTTTTTAAAACTGACCTAACCAAGGCTGGCACCGTGACGTAGCAGGTAAAGCCGCGGCCTGGAATACGGGCATCCCATGTGGGTACCGGCTTGAGTCCTGGCTGCTCCACTTCTGATGCAGCTCTGCTATGGCCTGGGGAAGCAGTGGAAAATGACCCAAGTCCCTGGGCCTCTGCACCCATGTGGGAGACCCGGAAGAAGCTCCAGGCTCCTGGCTTCAGATAGCTTAGCTCCAGCTGCTGTTGTGGCCATTTGGGGACTGAACCAGCAGATGGAAGACCTTTCTCTGCCTCTGCCTCTCTGTAACTCTGCCTTTCAAATAAATAAACAAATCTTTCAAAAAAAAAAAAAAAAAGAAGAAGAAGAGCGACCTAACCAATGTCACACTGTGTCTCTCAGCCCATGTCACGCAGTCTCTCTCAGCCAATGTCATGCTGTGTCTCTCAGCCAGTGTCACGCTGTCTCTCTCAGCCAATGTCACACTGTCTCTCTCAGCCAATGTCACACTGACTGTCTCAGCCAATGTCACACTGACTGTCTCAGCCAATGTCACACTGTGTCTCTCAGCCAATGTCACACTGTGTCTCTCAGGCAATGTCACACTGACTCTCTCAGCCGATGTCACAGTGTCTCTCAGCCAATGTCACGCTCTCAGCCAATGTCACACTCTCTCAGCCAATGTCACACTGTCTCTCTCAGCCAATGTCACGCTCTCAGCCAATGTCACACTCTCTCAGCCAATGTCACACTGTCTCTCTCAGCCAATGTCACCCTGTCTCTCTCAGCCAATGTCACACTGACTGTCTCAGCCAAAGTCACACTGACTGTCTCAGCCAATGTCACAGTGTGTCTCTCAGGCAATGTCACACTGTGTCTCTCAGGCAATGTCACACTGACTGTCTCAGCCAATGTCACACTGTGTCTCTCAGCCAATGTCACACTGTCTCAGCCAGTGTCACACTGTGTCTCTCAGCCAATGTCACACTGTCTCAGCCAATGTCACACTGACTGTCTCAGCAAGCTTTCTTTGTTCCGCTCAACATTTGTTTTTGAGACTGTACATGCTGACAGAAGGGCCTCTTTCACTCACCTTCACTGCTCTATGGCAAACCACTGTACTATTAACTAGGGTTTCTTTAACCAGAAAAAGCAATACATGCACAGTAAAAACAAAAAATAAAACTTAAACAGAATGAAAAAGTATTCAATTTAAACAATATGCCTAACACCTTAGGATGCCAGTCATTCTTTCAAAGACACTACTACTGTCAGAAGATAAAATTACAACAAACCCAGTCATGCTCTAATCGACCTGTACTCTCAGGTCAGCGAGTAGGCAGCTTTCATTCTACGAAACTGAATGAGAGCTCCTACTGGGCAGAGGCAGAACAGTGAGTTCTAGAAGGTGGGAACAAGGAAACAACACAAGAGAAGTAGGGTGGTTAACTTCAGGTTACTGGCTGGTTAACATCAGTAAGGTTAAAGCAGGGGGGCTGCCTTATTCTACAGTCCGGGGTAGACTGGAATCTCCTGTTTTCAGGAAAAGCTGGTCTGCCTTGGGATCTCTCTGCTTCCGTAAAGTTTTGGTTTGATGATACGACATTCAGCACGCTGAGACTGCCTTTTGGTCTGGTCTGTTGGGGCCTGCTGCAGGAGCTCACAGCAAAACAACTGTAATTTCTATGTAAGAGCACTAACAAACTCCTTCCGTGTACTTACTGACACAGCCCATGCGTAAGGAGCTCTTTTTCATCTTAAACACATAGCAAGCCCCCAGTATACTCTGCACCTTTTTTCTCAATTACCAGCACAGACAGCCTTCAGGTGCATCAGCACACGTGGAAACATCATTCTTCACCCGTCTCCACAGGTCCTACTGTGTGCACTAACTATGACTCAACCAACTCACGTGGATGCTCACTGGGCTTATTTTCAGTATTTTGGTACTGTGAATAATGCGGACATGTGCAGCCTGTGCAACTTTCCCATGTGCCCAACAAATTCATGTGAAAGTCTCAGAGGAGAGGTCCGTGGGCTAAGGACCTGACACGTTCAGAATTGGTGAATGTAGACCAATCGCTCTCCAGAGCCTGCAGTTACACGCATTCCTACAATCCTGACATTCTGCGGGGTTTTGTCTTGCATACGAGTGGGCTATCATATTCCAAACTTGCTTTCAAAATATTTTTCTCTCACTATTCCTTTGTGTAATTGTATGGTTTGACTTATTAATGCTGTACATAAAATCCTAGAATACACCATACTTGACACCCAATTTTCAAGGAGTAGGAACACAGGGAGCCTGTTGCAAGCCTGCCCACTCACTCACACCCATGAGGCAGCAGCCTCTTGTGGTTTCTGTTAGTTTGATTTTTTGACCTTTAGAACTTCAGTCTACGTGGAATTGACTCTGGTCAGGAATACAGAGATCCAGCTTACATCTTCTTGTGCTCAGTCTGATGCTGTAACACTGATGACTAATCCATCTGCCTCTCACTGCTGTGAAATGTCCCCTTCATCATCCACCAGACTGGGCCTCTTCCTGGCCTACCTGTACTGAGACCAGCCTACCTGGGCGCCTTCCAGATAGAAAAGCCAACACTTCAGCATAACATCTCTTTGTTTATCTTTACACATGAACTTCTATATCAACTTAGTGTTTCTTAACTAAAACAAACCAAATGTTGGTACTGTGAATAATATGGACATGTGCAGCCTGTGCAGCTTTCCCATGTATCCAACAAATTCATGTGAAAGTCTCAGAAGAGAGGTCCGTGGGCTCAAGACCTGACACATTCAGAATTGGTGAATGTAGACCAATCACTCTCTAGAGCCTGCAGTTACACACATTCCTACAGTCCTGACATTCTTCGGGGTTTTGCCTTGCATGAGAAAGTCAAGCTTAAAAATTCGTTGATTTTCATTTGAATCACCTTAAGTTTACTGACAAATTCAGAGGAAATTAATTCTACCTTCCTCCTCCTCCCATTTTAATATTAAATCTGTTTAATAACATGGAATAGCAAGTTTTTCCTTTGAGTCTTCTTTTTCATATTAAAATAAACAAAAATCAGTGTTGGTTAAAAAAAAGATTTTCAAGGAAGTTACCCCAATCGCCTCTTCTACCTCTCAAATGTTTCAGAGCACCGTCGAGGCTGCTCCAACTCTTCCCTAGCAGACACGGGGTGGGCAGCGGCTGCTTCCAGCTGCGAGCGAGTGCTTTACATGTGGAAGGAGGATTTCTCAGTGGGGTTACTTGTGACTTTATTCAAAGCCCAATATTAACAACAAAAAGATGTTTCATTCACAAGATCGTGAATGTCTCAACAACAGCTTCTAAGGCGACACTGGGTTCTGGGGAGGGCCTCCTGACTCACGCTGGAGGACAGTGGACATGGAGATGACCTCAGAGGGAGTCCTCCTTCTAGGGCGGGCTTTCAGGGAAAGTTTTATGCTGCAACACACAGGTACGCGCTGTGTCCTCCGGACTCCTAAGCTATGTGCTTCTGTTTGTAGAGTGAAACCTTTAAGAAGTGCCTCAGTCTGGGACACTAAGGTGACAGTAAGGACAGATACTCCGTTGTCTGGTGGATGCGGCAAAATTCCATGCACTGTGGACTGTTCAGGGGCACCTGGGAGCCACAGCAGGGAGTGCAGGCTCCACTCACTCACTGGTTGACTTCCAGCTTACCCTCTTTCTCGCCCAGCGATCTGAGGTTAAAGTCTGAGGCAGGCACAGCCTAGCTGGGGTTCAGAGACTGTGGGGTACTCAGTGCCGTCAGCTGCAGAGGACAGAGGGCTGCGGACTAGCACTGCAGGAGCACTGACTGTTCACGCAGCACAAGGGCCACAGTGTTGGCAAACTGGCCAGGAAGACTCTGCCTGAAGCTGGAGCAAAACATCAGAGGTGAACTATCCACAGCAAGCAAGCTCAAAGAACTAAAACCCACACAGATTTTCTTTTTAATTTTTATTTATTTTTCATTTTATTTGAAAGGAAAAAAGAGATCTCCTTTCCACTGCTTTAGTTCCCAAATGTCAGCAACATCCAAGGCCGGGCCAGGCCAAAACCAGGAACCTGAGTTACATCTGGGTCTCCCATGCACGAGGCAGGGGCGCAAGCACGTGAGCCATCACCATGCCTCTGGGGTGTGCACCAGCAGGAAGCTGGGCTTGAGAGGAGTCAGGACTCACACTCAGGCACTCTGATACGAGTGCAGGTGTCCCAGATGGTGGCTTAACTGCCGCACCAAACGCTGGCCCCCAAACCCATGTGATGAAGATGGAAACAACAGAACTGTTCTTTGAAAAGGGCTTTATTTATAAACTTGTAATAACTGTCACTTGGTTATGTATGTATCCTAGCTGTATACCTAGGTTACAAAATCCTTGTAGGATTTTATATATTAACCTGATTCCTACTGATAAATGTTTTAAAATCTGAACAACTAGAAGCCTCTTCACCTTCTATCACCTACCTGATGACCTGTAACAACTGACCCTTCCTCTCTTATCAGTGACTCACAGCCCATGGTCTTTGTGGGTCTTTCTCTGAACCCATTCCAATGCCCAGGCCTTCTGTTCCCTAACTTCTGACACGTGGTCACAGCAGGCCCCCCTGCACCCTGGTCCAGAGCTCCCATCTGAGGTGCCTCCTCCATCTGCTCCTTCTACCATCCGCCCGTCTCCCTGTCTCCTGAGCAACCCCTTCGTCCGCTTTCTTCCCCAACCTGGCTCACTGTCACGCACATGTAACTAAAAGCCCCTCATTAGATCTCACTGCCCATGGGATGACCCAAGCTCCTTAGGCCGTCGAGGAATCAAACGTTTTTGCAGTTTGGGTCTTAACTTGCATTCCTTTATGACCCCATTCTCATTCCCTGCCTCCAGTCCTCACGCTAAGGCTTCAAATTTCACACATTTCCCCGACTTTTCTACATCCCTGTTTTCTTATGTTATTTTCTTATTTTATGTACATGCCAAGCCTTCACCCTCATCTTCACACATTTGTCCGAATCCTCCCCTGCCTAAAGGTCCTGGCCTTCCCAGAGCCGTCAGCAACATCTCAGCAATGTTGCTCTTTTGTCACAGTTACGCGCACATCACTTGATCAGTCCCATTTTTTACTTAAAAAATTTCCCCCAAAAGGTTTGCAAAACAGTTTGTGTAAAATGGTAAGGACTCAGGGCCGGCGCCGTGGCTCAATAGGCTAATCCTCCACCTTGCGGCGCCGGCACACCGGGTTCTAGTCCCGGTCGGGGCGCCGGATTCTGTCCCGGTTGCCCCTCTTCCAGGCCAGCTCTCTGCTATGGCCAGGGAGTGCAGTGGAGGATGGCCCAGGTGCTTGGGCCCTGCACCCCATGGGAGACCAGGAAAAGCACCTGGATCCTGGCTCCTGCCATCGGATCAGCGCGGTGCGCCGGCTGCAGCGGCGGCCATTGGAGGGTGAACCAACGGCAAAGGAAGACCTTTCTCTCTGTCTCTCTCTCTCTCACTGTCCACTCTGCCTGTCAAAAATAAAAAAAATAAATAAATAAAAAAAATAAAAAAAAATAAATAAAATGGTAAGGACTCAAATATTTTAAATGTGATGTTCTTGGTAATTTGCATGAAATATGTATTACTCTTTGTCAGACATCTAACCTTCATAATGTTATCCTTATTTACAAAGGGATAAATCAGATTTTCCTAATGTTGACTCTCTTCTTTTCTAGGAAAATAACTTGTCGTGGTCTATTGTAAAGTGATGTTTGGCCCACAATACGACCATATTCCTAAAACAACACCTTCTAAGTTAAGGAAGTGGTATCAGATTACTATAGAAAGTTGGAAGACACAGACAGGCGCAGACGGATGGATGGAACGATGGACAGAGAAAGCCAAGGAAGATAATGTTAATGGTAAAATCTAAAATGTGGGTATGATTATTCACTATGAAATTGTAAAATTTTTCCTATGTAATTTTAACAAGAGTGAAAAATGCAACAAATGAAATGTGTATGTACAATCATTGTGTCTTCTGAGCACCATTAGAAGGGGAGACTGGGCCCATGAGGGTCACCCAGCCTCTCCTGTCGGCTATGAACAGGGGCTGACACAGTCAACTCAGTAAGCCAAGTATCTGCTAGGTAAATACTCTCCCAGAGCATGAGTGTTTGATCTCTGCAACCAACACGCTGCAATCTGTCTCGCACTATAACCAGCTGACTGTGTCCAATGACCTTCCCAACCCTCACCTCAACTAGAGTAAATACTCTTTACCAGCCAGGAGCTAGATGTTCAACGCATTTGCTCATTTAACACTCTAAACCTAAAAGCTATCCTTCCCTAATAAGACAAATAGAAAAAAATGTCACTGGCTTTATATAAGGAGGCTTATTTAAACATACCTGATGAAAGGACTCATAGTGTTAGCCAATTTTGTTTCAAAAAAGAGACTGGCTTGCATCTGCCTACAGAGCCAAGGAGACCACAGAATGGAGCTGGAGAGGCCAGGAGGGGCGAGAACAATGCACAATGGACACCTGAAGTGCACCCCAGCCACCAGAAAGCTGCACACATGACAGATAATACAAGGCAAAAAGGGGCAGGGGTAAGAATACTGGACTTGGGGCCAGCACTGTGGCGCAGCGGGTAAAGCTGCCTCCTGCAGTGCCAGCATCCCATATGGGCTCTGGTTCAAGTCTTGGCTGCTCTACTTCCAATCCAGTTCTCTGCTACGGCCTGGGAAATCAGTAGAAGACAGTCCGAGTCCTTGGGCCCCTGCACCCACGTGGGAGACCCTGAAGAAGCTCCTGGCTCCTGGCTTTGGATCGGCCCAGCTCTGGCGGTTGCAGCCACTTGGGGAATGAACCAGTGAATGAAAGACACCCCCCCCCCCAACCCTGCCTCTCTGTAACTCTGCCTTTCAAATAAATAAATAAGTAAATCTTTAAAAAAAAAAAAAGAAACAAAGAATACTGGACTTTAAATCTCTTATCCAACTGTTAGAATTTGATTCCACTAAATCCCAAACATGGGCGATTAGGCAATAAGAACTTACGGCAGGTGCTTGGCAGGAGTTAAACTGCTGCTTGGGACACCCGCATCTCATATGGGAGTGCCTTGGTTGAGCCCCAGACACTCTGTTTCCAATCCAGCTTCCTGTTAATACACATCCTAGCACGCAGCAAGGGATTACCCACGTACTTAGGTCCCCACCCCGAGAGCGGAAGACCCAGCTGGAATTCAAGGTTCCTGAGTTTGCATGGCCTAGCCCTCACTGCAGCAGGCACTGGGAGAGGGAACAAGCAGATGGAAGATCTCTCTCTTTCCTTCTGCCTTTCAAATGAAATGAAAATAAATAACAAGATAATTGTTAAAAGAACAGAGGTTCTAATGCTTGTCCATCTGGGTTTGAATCCAGGTTCACCACTGACCAGCTGTGGGAACTTGGACAATTCGCTTCATCTTTCTCAATTTTCACAAAATGGGCATAAAAACAGGGATTTTGAAAGGCTTAAATGACGTAGGGCATACGGAGCATTTAACTCGACACCTGGCACATCGGATGCACCATTGTACGGGGGAGCCTCAGCGTGACGGACAGCACGAAGGCTGCCAGTTCTCTGAGTCGGTCCCCAGGGGACCGCACACCTGTCCGTGGTGCCGCACAGGAGCAGCTCCGACACTCACACTAAATGGCTTCGATGCCAGGACACCTTCACAGAGAACCGTGTGACTGAAAAGACAACATTAGAGGCACTCGCATTTTTTAGCTAAATCCATTTCCTAAAGATACAGAAAGGAAGAGGAAGCAGATGGGAACGTTTCCTTAAGGGCAACGGCAACTCAACTCCTGGGACTTTCAGCACAAACGTGTTGTGTGTGCTAAGTGCTGGATCCTGTTTTTCTGGTTTTGTTTTTTTGTTTGTTTGTTTGTTTGTTTGTTTTTTTGAACCAAAAAAAACCTCTCTTGTCACAAACTGGGTTCCAGTGATCTGGCTGAGGGGACTTCAGCCTCTGACTTCTCTGTCTCCACTGCAGATGTCTGGTCACAGGAGCACCCAGTCTGTGCCTGGGCTAAGGTTCCAGGCTCCAAGGAGCCTCCTCCACCCTTTTCTTTCACCTCCCTCCCTCTCTCATTTCTACAGGACAACATCTGCATCTTCTTTTCTGCCCCTCTGTGGTCCCAGTTCTGCCTGACCACTGTCAACCACAAAACTGGATCTCCCTGCCATGGGACAAACGCACCAACCAAGTCTCGGCTTCTGTAGACATAGGTCACCCTTCCACCTCTGTCTGTTCTACACTCCCAAGAAAAGTGCTTTTAAGATTCTGCACCTGTGTGCCGGTGCTGTGACTCAGTGGGTTAAAGCCACAGCCTGCAATGCCGGCATCCCTTATGTATGCCAGTTCAAGTTCTAGCTGCTCCACTTCTGATCCAGCTCCCTGCTAATGCACCTTGGAAAGCAGCGGAAGATGGCCCAAGTGCCTGGGCCCCTGCACCCTCATAGGAGACCTGGAAGAAGCTCCTGGCTCTGTCCTAGTCCAGCCCTGGCTGTTGTAGCCATTTCGGGAGTGGGCTAGCAGATGGAAGATCTTTGTCTCTCCTCTCCCTCTCTATGGCTCTGCTTTTCAAATAAATAAATAAATCTTAAAAATCAAAAGATTCTTCACCTGATGCATTCACCTTACCTGGGAAAAATGTTACTTTTAGGGGCTGTTATTAGCACCACACTCTAACAAACTGAGCTAACCAGCCACCTTAGGGGCTGTTTAATGTTTATAGCCTCTTGCCTTCAAGTTTGAAATTTACCTTATTTAAAGAAGAAGAAGGAGAAGGAGAAGATGAGGAAGGTGGTGACTGGCTGAGACTTTCAATACAACCAATCTGAGACAAAAAATCCACCTTAAAATAAAAAGAAGTGCTCAGTGAACAGCAGAGAAACAAAAGAGTATACTAAAGCTTTCAACCAAACACAGCAAAGTCAAAGCAGAGCTAGACTCATCAGCGAACTCCAGCATGCCCCTCACAAACAGTACATGCGCAAAGCTGCAGCTGAGTGACAACGGGTTATCTTCATTGCAGGAAATCTTCTGAAACCTGATACAGTATCCCTGAGGCTCTAACATAAGTATAGTAGCACAGAAGGAATGGAGCAAGGATCATGCAAGAATACAGCTGGTGAGGCAAAACCCAGAGAGAAAACAGAGCCAAGCCTTTAAAAACGTTCAAGATGCTGAACCTTTTGCTTCAAAGGCACTAGACACCTGAGAGGCCAGCCAGAAAGAGCGAAGCCATCATGTGGCTTTGCTAACCACAGAGCCACAGCGAGTGCCACCAAGCTCAGACGTGAGAAGAGAACTTCCCAGCCCGTGAGTGAACTTGGGAGGAAAGGAAGGGCCTTCGGCAGGTGCTCCTGAGGTCCTGACTGGCTCACTCCGCAGCACTTTTATGAGAGGAGATCAAAGATACCCTCCATGAAGTCAGTAAATGACCAACTGCAGGGGCCCACCTCCAGGCTTCAAATCCCCCAGCACCCCAATGGTCCACTAGGGGAGGGGGTGCTACTAATATTCATAGAGTGTTAAGGGAAAGAACTTTCTAGTCACAAATGTCCTATGAAGAACATGGTGGTATTATTCCCAACTTATAGATGCAAATGAACTTCAACTTGAAAATCAATTAATACACAATCAAGATAGAGTAACAGGTGTCCAGTTTATACTACCACTTAAAACTTCTTTTTTTTTTTAAAGATTTTTTATTTGAAAGTCAGAGTTACGCAGAGAGAAGGAGAGGCAGAGAGAGAGAGGTCTTCCATCCACTGGTTCACTCCCCAGATGGCCGCAATGGCCAGAGCTGCACCAATCGAAGCCAGGAGCCAGGAAGTTCTGGGTCTCCCACATGGGTACAAGGTCCCAAGAACTTAGGGCATCTTATACTGCTTTCCCAGGCTGTAGCAGACAGCTGGACTGGAAGTGGAGTAGCCGGGACTTGAACCAGCACCCATATGGATGCCGGCACTGCAGGTGACGGCTTTACCTGCTATGCCACAGCACCGGCCCCTACTTAAAACTTTAAATGGTGACAAGATACATAAAACTATTTTCAAATCATTTGACACTATGCAATGAAAGGCAGTGATCTTGAGAAACAGAAAGCAAGGTAAACTGTGGCAGCGCTTGGGGTAGTAGGCTAAGCCTCCGCCTGCTGCACCAGTTTGAGTCCCAGCTGCTCCACTTCCAAACCAGTTCCCTACTAATGGCCTGGGAAAGCACAAGATGGTCCAAGTGCTTGGGCCCCTGTACTCATGTGGGAGGCCAGAAAGAAGCTTCTGGCTCCTGGCTTTGGATGGGCCTAGCTCTGGCCGTTGCAGCCACTGGAGGAGTGAACCAGTGGATGGAAGACCTCTCCCTCTCTCTCTCTGCCTGTAACTCTGCCTCTCAAATAAATAAATAATTCTTTACCAAAACAAAACAAAGCAAAAAAAAAAAAAAAAAAAGAGTAAGCCTCATAACTGCCTTAGTTTACTATGTAAAGAGATTTTCAAGGCCCCAAATGAAGGACAGAGACCCCACACACAGCGCAATGCTGTGACTCAAGGAGACAGGGTGAGCGCCTGGGCAGAGGGCATCCCAGATCCAAAGCTGAGTACTCACCAGCACATGTGGGAGGAAACCATCCAAGGTCAGGGAAGGGATTGTAGGAAAGAATTTAGAGAACAATCCCTCACACAGGGCTGCTCCCATAAGCCAGAATGGAAAACTTCACAATTTATGGGTATGGGATACAGTAAGAAAAAGGGTTTTGCTTCAGTAGAAGAGCAAAAATATCCCTAAACTAAGTGTTTCTCTAGTCCTACTTAAAAAACTTAAGAATAAAACCTAAAAGAATGAAACCATTTTAAAGTAACTTAAATATATGCCAGAATAAGGCTCAAAATACCTATGGGAATGCAAAATATCCAACACATAACAAGGTAAAAAATCACAATGCCCAGCACTTCATAAAAATTAACTAGATTGGGGCCAGCACTGTGTTGTAGCAGGTAAAGCTGCTGCCTGCTGTGCCAGGATCCCATGTGGAAGCCGGTTCAAGTCCCAGCTGCTCCACTTCTGATCCAGCTCTCTGCTGTGGCCTGGGAAAGCAGTGGAAGATGGCCCAAGTGCTTGGGTCTCTGCACCCATGTGGGAGACCTGGAAGAAGTTCCTGGCTTCAGATTGACCCAGCTCTGCCAATGCGGTCATTTGGGGAGTGAACCAACAGATAGAAGATCTCTCTCTCTCTCTTTCTCTGCCTCTGCAACTCCAACTTTCAGATAAATAAATAAATCTTTTAAAAAAATAACTAGATACAGGAAGCAAGTATTTAACCAGCAGTTTAGATACCCACGTCTCACATGGAGTACTTATATTCAACTCCTAGCTCCTGCTCCTGCCTCCAGCTTCCTGCTAATGCAGACTGTGGGAAGCTGTGTGATGGTTCAAGTAGTCAGAACATGAGCAACTAAAGAGAAAGATCTGGACATCTACCAGGGATTCCAGTAAAAACTGAATTCACAATTGATAAAAGCAAAGTGCTACTCTATAGAAGAATGCCAGCTCAGTACAGGTCCAGGGACTGACACCAACTCAGGCAAGGATTATCAACTGATGGTAAACCTGGTAGGTGGATGGTTAGCAGTGCTAAATTAATACCAGAAATATTACTCTGGTTACAAAAAGAAACACACAATACAACAGGAGCAGAAAACTGCTGATCAGTAACACCGGATGACCAGCTGGTTTACCTTCCAATTGACATGACTTCAAGCACGAATATGTCACCTAGGATACACTCCTGGAACATTCCTATACAAAATGCTCCAGTTGAGTTCATTAAGCATTTAGCTATAACTCCCAACTTAGAGAAAATACAGAGGATAAAAAACAATCTAAACCCTAACAAGAGCAGGCAGGTCAGCAGGCTAAGCCACCACTTGTGGCGACAGCACCCCACACCAGAGCGCTGGTTCAAATCCTGGCTGCTCTGCTGCCAAGCCAGCTCTCTGCTGACGCACCTGGGAAGGCAGCAGCAGCAGATGGCCCAAACACTTGGGTCCTACCCACTCATATAGGAGACCCAGATGGAGTTCCTGGCTCCTGGCTTCAGCCTGGCCCACAACAGGCTATGGTGGCCATTTGCAGAGTGAACCAGCAGGTGGATGATGGACATAACTCTCTCTCTCTCTCTGCCTTTCTTTTTTTAAAAGATTTATTTATGTATTTGAAAGCCAGAATTGCAGAGAGGCAGAGGCAGAGAAAGATCGATTAACCATCTGCTGGTTAACTCCCCAAATGGCTGACACAGCTGGAGCTGGGCTGATCTGAGATTCTTCTGGGTCCCAGACGTGGGTGCAGCAGTCCAAGCACATGGGTTATCTTCTACTGCTTTCCCGAGTCATAAGCAGAGCTGGATCGAAGTGGTGCAGCTGGGACTCAAAATGGCACCCATATGAGATGCTGGCACTACAGGCTGCGGCTTTACCTGCTATGCCACAGAGCCAACCCCCATAAATAAATATTAAAAAAAAAAAAACAGCCAGACAAAGCCAGAATAAATGAATTACACAGGACAACTGGTTAAGTCTGAATTAAAAGAAAAATTTTTTAAGATTTATTTGTTTTAAAGGCAGAATTACAGAAAGAGAGAGGGAGGGTAGGAGAGAGGGAAGGAGCAAGAGGGAGAGAAAGAGTGAAAACTTTGATCCACTGTTTTACTCCCCAGATAGCTGCAATGACCAGGGCTGGGCCAGGATAAAGCTGGGAGCCTGGAACTCCATCTGGATCTCCCACATGGGTGGCAGGTGCCCAAGCACTTAGGTCATTGTCTACTGCTTTCCCAGGCACGTTAGTAGGGTGCAAGATCAGAAGTGGAGCAGCCAGGATTCGAAATGGCACTCACATGGGATGCTTAACCTGCTGCTAAAAAAGCTGTTTTTAAGTAAAAACTGTGCTAGACAAAAAGGAGGCCTAAAGGGACATAATGAGGCATGTTTGGGCCTGGCTTGGATCCTAGCTCAGAAACAAGCTATAAAGGACATTCTGCGTCAGCTGGGAAAATTAAAATTGGTCTGAGTATTAGATGAGATGAAAATTTACCAGGGGCTGTGCTGTGGCACAGCAGGTTAACACTCTAGTCTGAAGCGCTGGCATCCCATATGGGCACCGGTGCAAGTCCCAGCCGCTCCACTTCTGATCCAGCTCTCTGCTATGGCCTGGGAAAGCAGCAGAAGATGGCCCAAGTCCTTGGGCCCCTGCACCCACGTGGGAGACCTAGAAGAAGCCCCTGGCCCCTGGCTTCGGATCAGCTCAGCTCTGGCCGTTGCAGCCAATTGGGGAGTGAACCATCGGATGGAAGACCTCTCTCTCTTTCTCTCTCTCTCACTAACTCTGCCTGTCCAAAAAAAAAAAAAAAAATTGACCCATTTGAAGTAAGGAAATAATAAGCACATCTAATATTTTTGTGAAGTTTTTTTTTTTTATTTTTAAATGGACTACAAAATGCTCTTAAATGGCCTAAAAATAGGCTTTTGGAAGAATGAGAAGGGAAAATGTTGTTCCAATGTAAAATTACTATTGCCTTTCTCTTCCCTTAACCAGTAAGAATTCCTTCATGGCAAATATCATTACATTGCTAGAACAGTCCAGAGGATTCTCTGTAGTCACTGTCTGTGACTGGTACCCACCAGATGGCAGAACCACTGGCTCCCAGTCCTACAGTCAATGCCGAGAGCGCAAGCCTTCTTGAGACAGGGATTCCGGTGGATTCCCTAAATCTCTATCTATTACACTGTAAAGTACCTCTTGATATTATTTTGATGACTGAAAAAAAATTAAACAAGTATGGAATACTTTATTATGGTGCAAGGAAAGCCTCTTAAAAATATGGGAAAATCGGCCGGCGCCGCGGCTCACTAGGCTAATCCTCCGCCTAGCGGCACCGGCACACCGGGTTCTAGTCCCGGTAGGGGCGCCGGATTCTGTCCCGGTTGTCCCTCTTCCAAGCCAGCTCTCTGCTGTGGCCAGGGAGTGCAGTGGAGGATGGCCCAGGTGCTTGGGCCCTGCACCCCATGGGAGACCAGGAAAAGCACCTGGCTCCTGGCTCCTGCCATCGGATCAGCGCGGTGCGCCGGCCGCAGCGCGCCGGCCGCGGCGGCCATTGGAGGGTGAACCAACGGCAAAGGAAGACCTTTCTCTCTGTCTCTCTCTCTCACTGTCCACTCTGCCTGTCAAAAATAAAAAAAAAAAAAAAAAAGGGAAAATCTTTTCTTATTAAGTTTACAAATTTGCAAATAAGTAATACAATTTGTGATTTTGTGGGCCTTAGATAGCCCAGGGCTGGATGTTCCCCTCCCCTAAACGAGAGTGTTTTGCTGACTAAGGGTTCTGCCACCTACCATCTATGGAAGAAAGCAGTCACTCGAGTCACAGCAATGAACTGTGGACACCTGTCACTCCACTTAACTCTGTGACTGCTCAGGAGGAACCCAGAACCAGATCTGAAGTTAAAAGTTCTAAGGAAACAGAAGGGAGTGCTATTTCACGTAGCAAGTTATAAATTAATGAACTACTTACTCTGAAATGCAGTACAAACTAAAATACTTTTCCAAGCACCCTTGTGTTTTCTTATTGATATTCCGAAAATGAAAGAAAGGCATAACTGATAGTAAAAAAAGTATATAAACCTATCAACTAATAATGGTCACCTGGTTCTTACTCATGACATCTTTCTTGGTATTTATAAAAGATACCACAAGTCTGTCCTATTTAAATTCTGTTCATATCCCACATAACTGAGACCAGACAGCTATTAAAGATATTTTTACTTGATTTAAATTCACATGCCCAAATTAAATATGGTCATACTTTCTGGATATTTTTAATTCTAGTTTCAGTTCATCTTTTCTTTGCATTTAACGGGCTTAATTAGTTTTAATGTTATATTGGATTAATAAAATCTAACATTTTTAAAAGTTGATTATATTACTTTTAAGTTACCTGGAAGAAAAAAAAATCTGATAATCAGTTTATATTATTGCATTTATGAGACTGAGGCATTTACTTCAAAATTGGGTAAGATTTTTAAAAAGATCTATTTATTTTAAATTAAGAGTTACACAGAGAGAGAAGGAGAGGCAGAGAGAGAGAGGTCTTCCATCCGCTGGTTCACTCTCCAGTTGGCAGCAATGGCCGGAACTATGCCAACCCGAAGCCAGGAGCCAGGAGCTTCTTCTGAGTCTCCCATGTGGGTGCAGGGCCCAAGGACTTGGGCCATCTTCTACTGCCTTCCCAGGCCACAGTAGAGAGCTGGATCAGAAGTGGAGCAGCCAGGACGCAAACTGGTGCCCATATGGGATGCCGGCACTGCAGGCGGTGGCTTTACCCGCCACCCCACAGTGCTGGCCCCAACTGAGTAAGATTTCAGTCCCACGCTGAGCTTGTGTTCATCAGCTGGAGTGCACCCCGCCACCCTGAGATAGCAGCTAAAGCATGTCTCCTGAATCCAGACAACATGATATTCCTATGTCATCTCCTTCACTTATTTTTTGATCACCTCACTTAATTCTCTTGTATTAAAATACTGCCCTTTACTTAATACAAACCCATTCTCCAGATGGTTTGTATAATTCGGTGGCTTTCAACTGGGTTGGCTTTGCTCCTGGGGTGCATGTGGCAGTGTCTGGATTCAGTTCTGGTTGTCAGACCAAGGGGCACTCTAGCAGGAGGGGCTGCTGAACATCACACAGGGCACGGAACACCCCACTGTGAGGCAGCCACTGCTCAGGTGTGGAGCCCCTGGGAAAATCTCAGGTTATGACTGGCCTCCTCACATTTCATAGTGAATGACCTTCAGCTGACCGATGTTCCTAAGTATTAATAACAAAACACAGAAAAAAGGTTCGACTACAGTGGTCACCTTGCTTCTGAATCTGAAATATCTGGGTCAAACTAATTTGTAACTCAGGATGTCTATAAAAAGCTGTATTAAAATGTATACAGTCGGGGCTGGCTCTGTGGCATAGTGGGTAAAGCCTCTGCCTGCAGGACTGGCATCCTATATAGGTGCCAGTTCAAGTCCTGGCTGCTCTACTTCCAATCCAGCTCTCTGCTATGGCCTGGGAAGCCAGTGGATGATGGCCCAAGTGCTTAGGCCCCTGCACCCTTGTGAGAGACCCAGAAGAAGCTTCTGGCTCCTGGCTCCTTATCAGCTCAGCTCCAGCTGTTGCAGTCATTTGGGGAGTGAACCAGCAGATGAAAGCTCTCTCTCTGCCTCTGCCTCTCTGTAACACTCTGCCTTTCAAATAAATAAAAGTGTACAATCTATAATTAATATATGGCAACAGTACCTTAATAACTCTCTTGGAAGGTTAAAATACAGAGATATTTTTGAGCAAATAATTGTGACATGATTATTAGGCTTAAAATAATTAAAAACCCATGTACTTAAAAATTCATCAAGCAGTATCATTTTCTAACGCCTATGCACTTCTAAAGATGTAAGTAGTGATAGTACTTTCATACCTAAGTCAGTTTTCTTCTTGTTACTCACTCTGATTAGTCATTCAATGATAAACCAACTAGGCAGATTCACCTAACCTGGTCAAATTGTAATTTAAGTTAATGTAAATTTCACTGTGTGCTTCTCAAATTATCTCAGTTATTCCAAGCCTGCCAGAAGCAGTAACAGCACCAAGAGCTGGGTGCCTGGGTCTGCTGGCGACTTCCCCTGTGCTTCCTCTGTGTGCAGCAGGGGACGCCAGCTCTGGGGTGAAGGGCACGTGCCAGCGTCCTGACCCCCAAAGCTCCGACCCTGGCCAGAGCAGGACCCTCTCTTCCTTCCACACCCTCATCTGAAGGAGGATCTGCGACTTCAGGTCTGTGTTATTATTCAGGCGGACTTTATAAAACCAACTCTCACTTAACAGCTTTCCTTTCCTTTGTCTTCTCATCAACTGCGAGAACAGCCTTGAGCAAGCTTAAAGGTGAGCTCTTTGTTAGCACTCCACAGGAAACCTAAAAGCACCTTTGTTTATGCTTTCAGGATGCACCGGCAGCCTCCGCAAAGGGGCTCCGCTCTCAGGGAAGCCAGCAGCCCCTGCCGCAGGACTCAAGACATACCTGGTTATTGTTGTTGGCGGCCGACAGGCTGGCTTGAGCCGTACTTGCTGAGAGGGAATCAAGGAAGGCTTGGTCGGCCACTGAATTTCCACAAGAAAACTGATCCTTCCCATCACTGGATAAGATCTGAACACAAGACAGAACCACGATCATTTTCCTCACTAGGCCGTTTCAGAGCGGAGTCTCGGGGCAGGCGAGGACGGTCAGCGGCCACGGGCGGATCTAAGTCCTTCAGTGTCGTAAGTTACCCTCCAGATACGGCTTTGGCTGCAGCCCAGATACTTTGATAAGTTGAATTTTCATTTTTATTTAACTCAAACTACTTTTAAATTTCTCTGAGATGTCTTCCTTTCCCCATGTACGTTTACTCTCCCAGTATTTGGGGATTTTCTGGCCGGCTGTCCGTGACTTCTCAGCCCGAGAGCAGACACTGGATGGCTTTCTTCTTTCAAACGTGCGGAGCTACGTTCCACGGCTCAGCACACAGCCTGTCTGGGTGGGTGTTCCATGTGTGAATGCATTCTGCGGTCACTGGCTGCTGCCGTCTACAGACGTCAGTCATACCAAGGTGATGGACAGAGCCACTGAGTTCAGTGACACCCTCATTTATTTTCTGCCTGCTGGACCTGTCTCTTCTAGATAGAGGAGGACTTCCTTTCTTAAAAAGGTGAGCAAACCCAGGAACGTAATAACCACTCCTCCCCTTGATAAGCAGAATCTTAGAGAATGGAATTAATGCCAACATCGTCTTAAATCTTCAGGTTTTCTCACTGCATCAACTCTTAAGTCCTGGATGCACACTGCCCCAAGCTGAGACGAGACCCAGACGTGACTGGACTGAGCTCAGGGATCCGAGTCGCCGGGAACTGGTGGGAAAGGCTGCAGGTGTGTGTGTGCACCCACCCTGGAGGAGGGTCTACAGATCTCATTCTTTTCTCCAGAGGGTTCAGGACCACCCACCCCTCTCTTAATGGAGAAAGACAGTCGGCCAGCCTCCCTTCTCTTTCTGCGGGGCAGGTCCCAGGGAGCACCCTCCCAACACCAAGGGTCCTTTGCTTGTTGAGCTACCTCTAATGTTACTCACTGGGTACCATGCAGTATGTTTGCAAGCTCACCAAGCATCCAGGACTCAACCTCCAACCAGCAGGGGGCGCCAGGTAGTTGATTCAGGGGAGGGCTTTGTCCCTACAGTGGGTGTGCCTCAGGCAGGAAGTGCTCCTGGGGGAGCTGTGATCCTATCCTGGGCACCAACCCTACAGAGCTGAAGCCAGGAGAGGACCACAGCAGTTCACTGCAGGCCGCGGGAGAAGGAACCGAGGGCTTTGTACTTTTAAAAGCGACCTCAACTTTGCTAACTGATTCCACAACAATGTTGTGGACAGCAGTCTAACCCAACACTAGCAAACGGAAAACAGGGACATTAATTCAGTTATTAGAAGTTGCTCTCCCTGGAAGGAACTTGTCTGAATACTGGTAATCGCTCTTTGGAGCTTGGATCTATAGCAATATACTGTTTCCGTTCTACACTGACGTATTTTCCGTATTTTATATAATTAGCATGCATTACTTTTTCAAGGGACATTTTATTTTTTAAGAAGCTGCTGTCTTCTGGTCTTTTACAAAGATGCTGGCTCAGATCAGCTTCAAGAGACAGCACACGTCCTTACCTCGACATAGTCTGTGGGAACGAGGCCTCGCTCTCCTTTGCTGTTCCTTCCTTCCAGCCATCCGCCGCCAACATCCTGAGTGACCGAGAGCAGAGAGGAGGACAGTCAGAATTTCCTGCACAGACGCTGCTCTGGGAATTGGTGTACATCAAAGAGGACCCAGCACAAAGCTCTGGACAGAGGAAACACTGCTCAAGAATTTTAACTGGTCTTCTTTTTACTTCAAAAAAGTAAGAGAAGTCCAACCTCAACAACAAGTGATCAAAGATGGGAAGTCTGCCTCTTCCTGGGTCACCACTGACTTCTCGATCCCTTTCTGCTTATCAGCGTGCAGCAGATGCCAGAGCCGAGGGGGAGAACGCACGGCCTCAGCCCCGACCTGCACTGCCCTCCCTCCGTGACCAGCGTGTGCAGAGCCCAGCACGCTTCAGCTCACTCTCAGAACCCCAGGTCACTCTGTGGCCAGAGGACAACAGAGACAAGGCCCCATCTCCAACCAGTCCACTCCCGAACAGCCAGATGCACGAGGGAGGACTCAATCCAGCAGGGCGCTAGGGGGCTACAGAACCTTCTAGCTAACGAATGAATTACTAGGCAGTAGTAAATATTTATTGGCTTAAAATACTGACTTTTGGAATCGTGTGTTATGATGGGAAAGCAAACGATCTTTGGTTCCTTACTTCTTCTGGATAAATAATATTAATAAACTAAACAAAGCAGAACTCTATACCAAGATTCCCACTTTTCAATGTATTATCCTAGCAAAGTCCCACTTTTCCCATTACAAGAGTACAGTTTGTAAACAGTGCTCTAATTCGTTAATAATTATCTGAATTGCCTTACTATGACACTTGTGTTCGTTGTCAGAATAGCTGGTTTGATACCCAGGCCCGGCTCCTGCCTCCAGCTTCTTGCTAATGCAGACCCTGGAGGCAGCAGTGACGGCTCAAGTGACTGAGTTCCTGACACAAGTGGGAGATTTGGATTGAGTTTCTCGATCCCAGCTTCTGGCTTCAGCCTGGCCCAGCCCCAGTTATTGTGGGCAGCTGGAGAGTGAACAAACACAAGGGAGTGCCCCCAACCCGCCCATGTATGTGAAAGTCTCCTATAAATTAGAAAAAAAGAAAAAACTGAACCTAGACAAATCATTCTTAAAAATCACTTTAAATAAAGCCACACTTTTGTCACTGACTGCAATACCAACTTGAAGACAACACTATTCTACCAAGAAAATGAAGAAATGTTTCATTTTTAAAAATATGTAGATGGAGGCCAGAGCTGTGGCGTAGCAGGTAAAGATATGGCCTGCATGCCGGCATCCCATGTGGGTGCCAGTGCCAGTTTGTGTCTTGGCTGCTCCACTTCCAATCCAGCTCTCTGTTATGGCCTGGGAAAGCAGAAGATGGCCCATGTCCCTGGGCCCCTGCACCCCCATGGGAGACCTGGAAGCTGCTCCTGGCTCCTGGCTTTAGATCAGCACAGCTCTGGCCATTGCGGCCATCTGGGGAGTGAACCAGCGGATGGAAGACCTCTCTCTCTCTCTGTCTGTCTCTTTGTAACTCTGCCTTTCAAATAAATTAATAAATCTTTAAAAAATAGGTAGGTAAAAGGATTATTAATCTTTTCTATAATTAAAAATAAAACCTACTTACTTATATATATCTAGCATATTAACCAAAATTTCTACATAAAGTTTTTCTACCCAGTAGTCCTTCTTTGGGTCCAAGATACAGGTTTTCCAAACATTCTGTTAATAAATGCCGTTGCCTCTGCCACTCCTTGATCTCTGTGGTTCCACAGCCTCACTGTCTCCTCCTACAGAGTGGCCCACACCTGCACCTCGACCTCCGGAGCACTCCCTGCTTCCTGCCACCTTCTGCTACAGGTGAGGAGGGTAGAGAGCCCATGCAGCTCCAGCCCCAGTCTCCAGCTCTGAGTTGCCTAACTTAAAGTGATACAAAGACAGAGGCAGGGTTGACTACTGATCACTCTTTTACTGCACACAGCTAAACCTAAACTCATTAATCCTTCCAAAGAAGGAACCTGACTTGCACGCTGCAGCACATCCACAATGCTCTTGGGTGCGCAGGCTAAACGGCTCCGTGACTCTTCTCTTGCCAACAGCGTCTACTCAAGCACCCAGTCCTCGGGGCCTGACCTTCCAAGCCGCCCGCGTCCATCCTCCTTCACCTTATCTAGTGCTGCTATCCAATGTCACGTCCTGGACTCTCGCCATCTCCACTTCCTCTATGGACCTCAGCAGATCACCTTCCTTAATGTGTCATCTCCTTACACAAATATCAACAATAAAACTCTTAAAGGAACCCACTGCCTGCCAAATCAGCTCCAGGCTGCGGCGGCCAGCCCACAGCTGGGTCTGATTCCCCAACTTTCTGTGCCTGTTTCCTCCTGGCACAGGCAGACCCTGTACCCCAGGGACCCTGGCTTACTCACAGACAACAAAAGCACCGACTCAGTCAACACCGATGTGGCTCTGACTGCTTGTTCTGCCACTAGACAGCAGAATAACTGCTGGCAAACCACTCACCTCCCCGAGACTCAGTGCCCTTGCTTATACCACAGAGTGTAGGGGACACAGCAGAGAACACATGCACACTCGACAGCCACACACCTGGCCCACAGGCTGTCGGCAACGGTGCCTGAGGCTGCCAAAACAGCAGCAAACCCCACACGCTTTCAGATCGCTACACCTTCTCCAACCAACCATTCTCTCCACCTGGGGTATCTTCCCATTTCTGTCTGATGAAAACCGTCCACACTCCCGGCTCTGGCTAGGCAGATTCCACCTTGTGCGGTACAGCCCATCCTGACTACAACATGAACAGAAACGGCTTCTCAGTGAGTGCCAGCAGAAGCTGTCTGTGACTCTGACACTTTGTCTACTACCTTAAACTTGTCCCCCTTTAACCACAAGCTCCTTACGGAGAAGGAACAAACATCTGACACATCTTTGTGTTTATTCCTCAAAGTACCTGCTACAGACAGCCTTATCCACAGCAGGTGCCCAATAAAACCACTGATTGAAAAAATGTATTGGATGAATTCCAGGCTTAAAATGTTGTAGTTCTAAGGAACAGCAGGACAGTGAATGTATTTTCTAGGACATGTAATCCTAGAGAATAAAACCTGGAAGACAGAAATACAGTGATACAAATGGCTTCAGACTATGTGATCTTCTGCATAAATTTGTCAAATTTGAGGTTGAATCTGTGGACAGGAAATGCTCTGGTGAGTTTTTAAGCTGAAAGAAACTGAATTTCCAAGTCAGCAAGGAGTGAGGGCACATGCAGCAGGACGATTAGGCTACTCCATAATACTGAAGACTCATCCATCTGTTAGTGGGACAGAATGGTACTTGTCTAAAGAAACCAATTTGTTTTTTAGAGATACATATTGAGTTACTTATGAATGAAATGATACAAAGGAATTTACCTCAAAACAACCGAGTGTGTGGCAGGAGAGGGAAGCTGGATGAACAGGCGGGGCAGAGACGATACAGGTGGCCATGGGTGACAGCTACTGAAGCTGGGTGATGGACTGACGGGCACAATGGTATTCATAAATACAGTCCTTCCCCTTTGGCATGTATTTGAAATTTTATAAAATAATTTAAAAAGAAAAATATATGTGCCTAATTGATACACGGCATTATATAGTGGGTAGTACACTATGGGTAGGAAAATAAAAAGAATTAAGATGCATTTTTCAACCCCAAAGAATTCCAAGTTTAAAGTGGAAGATGGGTGCAAATAAATGCAATACGACAGCACCTAGTGGGCACAGCGACAGGCGGGCACAAGGCACACAGGGCTGGCCCTTAGGGCTTCCTTCTTTCTAGAGAAGACAGACATCTTGTAAGACAATGAAGAATGTGGGAAGATGGCATTTTCTGATGTGTCCAGTGACAGAGAGGGGTTGGGATTTGGGTAACCAGAAAAGGGAATGCCAGGCAGGGGAGCGCCACGAGCAAGAGAGCTAAGTCATGAGAAACAGGAGTGTGCATGTGTGACAGTGTGAGCGTGTCAGTGCGCACACACATGGATGTGTGTGCACGTGCAGTGTGTGCATGAGATGGAGAAAGAGCACGTGTTTGTGTCCATGTGTAAGTGAGGACTGGACAGCTAAGATGGGATCAGATGGTGGGTCTTGTGGACCCAGAGTTTCAGGAAGCTGGAAAGGAAGACGGTCCTGGGGCCATTTTAGCAGACAGGTCAGTCAAGAAGAAAGGTGGAGGAGCTTACCTCAGGGTGTTGACAGTAGGGGTGCAAAGGGGGAGGGGCAGCCAGGTATGAACAAGGCTGAAGAGATCAAAATTACAGCTCTAAGTGGTTTAAAGTCAGGGCCTGAGCAGGAGGCGAAAGGGATGGGCCACCAGCACAGAAACAGAATTCATGAACAGGACCGGTGTGTGTGTGTTGAGCTGAGTCCTGGACGTGGGAAGTGGGGAGCAGTTGGGAAAAAATTAGGAGGCACAGGCCACAGTGGAGCACCCAGCCTGCGGTCGGAGCAGCCGGTCAAGCTGCAGCTACAATTAGCATCCCGGTGGCCATGGCGCAATCCGAGCACACAGGGCACAGGAGAAGTGAGTCTTAGAAGGGAACAGATGAAATGACGTGGGCACACAAGCATTCTCGAGGGACAGAGAACAGGGCACCCCAAAAGGCTACCAGAGGGTGAGTGAGGGTCCTCAGCAGCAGGCAGTCAGGACCCCACGCTGAAACTGTGCACTTCCAGCACGCAGACTCTGAAAACCAAGAACACGGGGCAAGGGCAAAGACTGCTATTTCTGTATCTCCACGGCACCCAGCCCAGTGCATGCTATGCACAGGAGTGACAGTAACGGGGCAGAGGACAAGAGAAGGCCCCAGCACAGCGCGGAGCCCGAGGCACAGCCCACCAACTTTTTCAAAACTACTGTATGCGTGGCTTTCAAAATCTTTTGCATTCAAATACACTTATCTTTTAATTTTCCATGAACTTTTGGAAGCTTGTACTTTCAAGATTCATTAAAAAATTACATATTAAAAAGGACATTTAAGCAGTTTGAGGTAGATATTGCCCAGAGGTAACAGCAAAAACTTTTACAGGATCTTGGGCAAACATCACTGAAAAAAATTAATATTGGGTTTGCTGCTGAGCTTCTTGGCAACAAAGATCATAAAAGAAATTCAATAAAGATTTTATTTTATGAGAGCAAACAGCCAAATCTCCCAGGGACAGAATCGAACACATGAATGCCATCAGGAAGGCAGTAAGAGCCCTGGCTACCCGAGGAGACACACACTGTAACACGATGTGTGTAACCTGTGTATCTGTGCACAATCGTGTTCTTGTAAAGATGCGGAAATGCTGGATTTCCAAATAGTCATTTCTTACCTGGATAAAAGCTGAAGCAAGACTTTGTCATTCAGCAAAGATAACTCCATCAGAGCTAAGCTGATCTAGTCTTAGTATATACAGCCTTCTGGTAACCTAATCTGATTTAAGGATAAAGCTTAGGAAAACAATGCTAGTGATCAGTGAGCTAAGGGAGCCCAGCACTGTCACTCATTCATTTTAGACACAGAATTAGGACAGGAGAAAGGCCTAACAACTGCAGGGTACCCGACAAGTCAGAAACAATGAAGAAAAAATCTAAAATAAACGCATGGAAAAAGATATAAAATTTTGCAATCTTTAGGGAACGTTTCTCAATATTTACAAAATAGCTTCTGACTTCACTACAAATACCTCATAGGCAACAGAAAAAGATTCTATGAGTCACCCAATCTTTAAAATCAGTGCAGGAGAGAGGGGTAGATCGCTTACCGGGTTTGTGATGGTGATGATCTCTCCTTCACTGACTGTCAGTTCGTTATTTCCAGGTTCAGCAGCAAAATCATACATAACCCGAGCCTATGGGAGTGGAGAGGAAAGAGGAAGTGACAGATGTAAACTGAACCGTAAAACACCCAAACCATACGTACTGTCAACTTTGTAAGCATGCTGCCATGAGCACGGCGTGCTGGCATGAGCACGGTGGGGGCTGTGGCTGTTCTGGAAGACAGGAAGAGGGACGACCAAAACACCTGAGCCGCTCGGCTGTGGGGACCCTCAGCACCAGTGGGACGACGGCGCCGCTCCGCATGGAAGGCTTCTGCTGCCGCCTCCACACCCCCACCATGTTCACAGATCAGCACAAAATGTCAACTCCAAACATTCCCATTTCATTGAGAAAAACAGCATGCCCCTCCATTCAGGAGGGTAACAGCAGAGACGTTCACTCTGGGCAGCCCTGTTCTGGGCATCTGCATAGGTATCCATGTGTGTACACACGCACACACGCATGTTAGAGTCACATGTGTTTAGAAGAATTCGTTGTCATGTAAGTCTCACAATTCCTTATCTAGAGCCAGCCACATGGATGAATTTTGCCAATGCAGCATCCCCAGCCATTTTAACTCAGAAATTTAAGATTTGGGAACCAAGACCCATGTCTGCTGCTTCACTATCACTTGGCTTCCACTGTGCTGTGTGTGTCACTCAGCTTACCTAAACAGCTCTGGGTCTCAACCTCTCCCTCAAATGAGATCTTACTTTCACATAAAACAGACGAAAGGAGGTTGCCTGGAGCTGTCCTTCCAGCCGAGGAGTAGTCCAGCCACCCAGGCTGCCTGGAACACTGCATGCACCCATTGCTACAGAGGGTCATGGCCATGGCTTGGGCATCAGCATGGGGGTCCCCACAGGCGCATGCATTCAGGCTTGGTCTGCAGGACAGTGTTGCTGGGTGATAGAGGGACCATCAGGAGGTGGGGCCTGGGGGGAGTACGTGGAGCACTGAGGCTGGCTCTGAGGCAGCTGAAATCAAAGCCAGGGTCTGGGCTGCCCCTCCTCCCTCTCCGGCTCGCCATGCGATCCTTCTCTGCACACGTTCCAACGTCATCTCACCAGAGGTGAGCCAGCGGGACCTGCCCGGCCTTAGACTGCAGAAATGGGAGCCCAATAAGCCTCTTTCCTTATAAAGTTAGGCTTATTTGGGTACTTTGTTAAAGTGACGAAAAATGAAAACAGTCACTGTGGTAAAATATATAATATTGTATATAAACCTTTATATTAAAATGTAGCTTTAATCCATTTGAAATTCTAAGTGATTTTTTTCATTTCCAAAAAATCCACCTTATAAATGGGGGCCAGCTGTGCCTAAGAAACAGGGTATGTTTTAAAAGTCATTGTTTTGGGGCCAGTGCTGTGGTGCAGCGGGTTAAAGCCCTGGCCTGCAGCGCTAGCATCCCATATGGGTGCCAGCTCTCTGCTACGGCCTGGAAAAGAAGATGGCCCAAGTCTTTGGGCCCCTGCACCCGCATGGGAGACAGAGAGGAAGCTCCTGGCTCCTGGCTTTGGGCTGGCACAGCTCCGCCATTGCAGCCAAGTGGGGAGTGAATCAGTGGATGGAAGACCTCTCTCTCTCTCTCTCTCTGCCTCTGCCTCTGCCTCTGCCTCTCTGTAACTCTGCCTTTCAAATAAATAAATAAATCTTCTTTTAAAAAAAGTTATTGCTTCCTAATAGGCAATTTCTAGTCTACCTACAGGAATGGTCAAACATCAATGGAACTGCACTCCCTAAACAAACTGTCACCAAACGCGCACCACACAGCAGCCACTTACAAGGCCCTCTTCCTCCATATTTGCTTAATGATGCCAAGTCCTTCTGCCAAGGGTTAAGGAATCACATCTAGTGGTAAACGACGGGCAAAACAACAAATATACTGAGATGGACTGACGGAAAAACACACGAGGCAGGTACTGTGAAACGCTTGCCACACAACACAGACGGTGGTGTGTGGTGGTCAACCGACATTCTTTCCATTTTTCCACATGCTTGAAACGTTTTCCCAGTAAAATGTTGGAAACAAGGGGTGGAGCCAGACCCGTCAGGCGGGTGTGTGTCCCCTGAGAGGCGGGAAGAGACCTGAAGTGCGGCTGAAGGAGCAAACACCAGCAGCACGGACATGTTCTCCTGGGGCCTTCTCACAGGACAAGGAAACCAGTGGCAAAGCAGACAGGACTCGGCCCGTCCTGCCGGTCATGAAGTCATTTTTAAAGCACACGTGTCAATCCGTCAGGCAAGAAGCGCTGACAGATGAAGGCCCAGGGACTTCCCAGGGAGAGCAGCCAGCTGTGCCCCACCCCCGGGGATCTGCTGTTTTGTTATTGTTCCTTACGAATCTTGCTTTTTTTTTTAAATCCAGATAAATCCAATTAGTTCCCCCACACACAGAAAACCTAAGCTCCTTGCTTACTAAGCTTACCGCTTGGTGAAGCAAGCAAAAAATAAAGAAAAGCAAACCCCTGTGCACATTTAAATGTTACTGAACACAGACTTGCTGCTACGGTTTGAATGCTTATATCCCCTCCAAAAGTCATGCTGAAACCTGACCCCCAAAGCAACAGCAATAAGCCTCCAGGGAGGTGCTGAGGTCATGAGGACAAATGCTGACTTAGAAAGGGTCCTGGGAGTGGGTGTGCACTTTCTCCCGCCCCTTCACCATGCAGGACTTGGCATTCAGGGCACCAGACAGAAAGGAGAGAGACCAGGCCCTGGCCTGCTAGAGTCTGGGTCTTGAATTCCCTGCCTCCAGGTTTGTGAGAGAGTAAATTCCCAATTTCTCGTAAACCACCAGTCAGCTATTCCACTACAGCAGCACAAAGTGGACTGAGTCCGAGAAAAGTGTTTACAAACACCGTAGGTTCACGTAAAACACTGTACTGGGACCTTCCAAAGAACTACAGATGCTTCTCAGAAATCAGAACAATTTGAGGTGACAAAAGGATTTAGTAAGCACACCTCCAAATGGGTACACGTTCCAATTAAAACAAACAAACAAAACCTGAGCACCGAACTCAGAGAGAGGAAGCTGGGGTGAGGCTGGAAGCTCTGGCACTGAGCCTCAGGCGCTCTCCCACACCTGCTTCTCTCTGCCTATCCGGCTGCCCTGTCTCCTGTCTTCCCTAATCACTCCCCACGCCTCCCTCCTGCCCATCACTGTCAGTACCCACACAGATAAAGATGCTGCCCTAAACCCCAACTGCCAATGACTCTTTTTTCACAAAGCCTTTGAAAGAAAAGGCCCATTTTTCTAATACTGATTTCTTCAATGTTAGCTGTACTTTTTAAGAAACCGTTCCTGGGGCTGGCGCCGTGGCTCACTTGGCTGATCCTCCGCCAGTGGCACTGGCATCCCATATGGGTGCCGGGTTCTAGTCCCGGTTGCTCCTCTTCCAGTCCAGCTCTCTGCTGTGGCCTGGGAAGGCAGTGGAGGATGGCCCAAGTGCTTCGGCCCCTGCACCTGCATGGGAAACCAGGAAGAAGCACCTGGCTCCTGGCTTCGGATCAGCGCAGTGCTGGCCGTAGCAGCCATTTGGGGGGTGAACCAACGGAAGGAAGACCTTTCTGTCTCTCTCTCTGTCTATAACTCTACCTGTCAAAAAAAAAAAAAAAAAGATAATTCTACTATATATCCAGTACATACTGTGAACTACAATTAACATCTTCAAAAACTGTTATAGATAAGGTAAATAGCTAGTGGAAATCAATCTCACTTAGCTGTTCAATCAACCACTAATCTAGCTGCTAGTAAAATCAGTATTAGTAGACTCAAGTTCTCAAATTAAGTGCTCGGACTCGGAACACTGAGCAGCCATGCATCTGTCTGCAGGGTGCAGAACCCCTCATCCCTGACCCACATCTTCTTTCTGGAGAAGAGACGGGAGTATGCAGGCACACATTCTCTTACACATCTGTTATTTTGTCTGCCACCCATCCCTTCCTCAAGGAAACTGCTCCTGCCTGGCTGCAGTGAGCACACACACAGGTTAATGCAAACTAACAACCTCAAAGAATTTATCAAGGAAACATCTGAAACAAAGCAAAGCACTGGCTCTATAAGAATCCATACACAAATCAAGCCCATCTGGATCTCTGGTTCCATATAAATCACAATCAAGTCTTAGAAAAAGCAGTAAATCTTTAGTGATGTTGCTCTCTTAAAATAAAAAAAAATGTCAAAAAGACAATAATCTTTTAAAAAATGCAGGAAACAGGCCAGCGCCACGGCTCACTAGGCTAATCCTCCGCCTTGTGGCGCCGGCACACCGGGTTCTAGTCCTGGTCGGGGTGCCAGATTCTGTCCCGGTTGCCCTTCTTCCAGGCCAGCTCTCTGCTGTGGCCAGGGAGTGCAGTGGAGGATGGCCCAGGTGCTTGGGCCCTGCACCCCATGGGAGACCAGGAGAAGCACCTGGCTCCTGCCACCAGATCAGCGCGGTGCGCCGGCCGCAGCGTGCCGGCTGCGGCGGCCACTGGAGGGTGAACCAACGGCAAAAGGAAGACCTTTCTCTCTGTCTCTCTCACTGTCCACTCTGCCTGTCCCAAAAAAAAAAAAAAAAAAAAAAAAAAAAAAAGGCAGGAAACAAAGATCCCTTATTAACACCCTTGATAACTAAACTTTTGTCATGTACATGATTACTTCAGTATACCTAGTCTTTCTCTTCAAATGGCATGCTGCTTAACTGAGCACTTCAAATGACTTTTAAAATCTCACTATTTAACGTTTTCTCCAATGTTGTCTTTACCGGTCAAGATCATCAGAAGAAATCTAGGTTAAGGTTCCATGCTTTTCAGTTTGCATCAATCTGTGATGTCAGAGCCTATGTTAAACTCTAGCCTTGTTATTGCTGTGAATTTTCATCTTTAGATTCAACCAACTGCTCCAACCCAAGACTTTTTTGAATTTTGGGGTCGGTATTATGGCACAGCAGATAAAGCTGCTGCCTGTGATGCAGGCATCCCATAGGGGTACTGGTTTGTGTCCTAGCTGCTCTGCTTCCAATCCAGTTCCTTGCTAATGTGCCTGGGA